AGGTTAGCATAGCAAAGTAGCGCATGGTGCGAGAAATGTAAACAAAAGCCCCACCCACCTTGGTATTGATTAGTGAGCACCGTGGGGATGATAATAAGCTCACAACCGACCTAAATACTCCGTGAAAGGATCGAGAAATGAGTTATTTGCTCCCATTAAGCGGACATGTCAATAAAACTCAGTATTGACCAGCAGCGTCAGCAAAACCAATAAACCAAGACTCACTTTCGGTCAGGGTGGCAGGACACTGTCACTGGAAGGAACAAGAACAACCAAAGCTTCATACGATTACAGGAATGTGTAGTCGAGCTGATAATGCCAAATAAGCGTGCTAGGCGGAAACCGAAAAGTGACAGAGCAGATCTCTTCAATGGGAGTGCTGATGCAAAGCTTTTGTCACGGCTACTGCCCTGACGAGAAATGAGCCTTCAACCCTCCTCAGGAGGCTTGCCCTTAGCCTGATAAGCGTGGCACAAATACATGAAACTAGCCAGCGAGACAAAGTCACGCTTGCTGCGCCCGCACCAACCTTCTTCCACTTCCCGTAACAACAGAACAGCTGGGTACCCGATGCAGTTCCCTGCGTTAGTTTGATATAGACTTTGAGGGTCTTCACGGACATCCAGCGGGTGAGTGCTTTCGTTGCAGAGGTCCCCGATGTGAAGAGCTGGGTAGAGGTGGAAGTTCGATAGGAGCTGTCACATGGAAAGCGTGATCGGACGCCTTGGTGATGCGTATCCGAGGGCGAATACGAAACCACGATCAGTGTGAAACACAGTCAGCGGGTGGGGACGACATAGCATGTAAATCGCCCGACCCTCTCGCCCAGATGTTACCGCCACCAGAAAAACGGCCTTCAAGTTAACAACTGAATGGAAATAGCCCGATGGGTGTAGAAAGTGGGGACGGACAGCTATTGAGCACAATTGACAAATCCCTGGACAGCCTGAAAGCAGGTCGAACCGTTCAGCGCCAGCGAAAGCGCTATGCGAGAGGTGCTGCCCCAGAAAGAGCACCATCGACAGAGGTGTGAAAAGTGGAAATAGCGGTGGAGTAGCCCGCGAATGGTCGAAGCATGCCAGGCCTTCTTCAAGCGAGCTTGCAAAAGCTCAATACTCGGACTCAATCCGCCAGAAGGGATCTGCAATCCCTATCTGAAAACCAGGCGCATGAAAGCGGGACCACCTATCTCCTCATACTGAGCGTTAGTGAATCCGCCTCGAAGCCAGGGTGTGTCTGCAGCTGCTGCAGGAATTCCGTGTGCCTCGAGGCTAGACCTGACAGAGAGCCAAGCCACCCATTGAATCCTTGGATTGGGGTGGAAGTGAAACCGTTCTGAGTGAGAATATCGAGTCGTAAAGGTAATAGAACAGGAGGCTGAGGCCAGAAACCTGAGAATTACCGGAACCAGCTCTGTGGCGGCCGGTGCCAGTAGCACAAGCGGCCGAGCTGGCTGGAGTGGACAGCTAATGAAAGGACCGCGGGGAATGAGTGGTAGCGGCGAAGAGAGCATGCGAACGCTTGCCCGTCCAATCCAGCAGGAAGGCGTGGCAGCCAGCGCCCTCGAGTCCGGTATTGAGAGCAGAACTGCGGGTGTCTGATTGATCGCCCGGGCGCAAACAGATCCACCTGGAGCGACCACGTTACAACTGGGAGAATAACTCTGAATATCTGCCTGTCGAGCATCCCACTCGTCTGCGGGGCCAGGATCGGCGAGAGAAGGCGTCTGCTCGCCGCGTTCTCCAACCCGGAGATAAGCAGGGGAGTACCTGACAATGGCTGCTGGTGGCACCAGAGGAAAGGTGTCCATGTCTCCCGGAGCAGCGCTCGGGACACCGATGCCATGCCTGACTTCAGGATGTGCGACATAGCCGTCTGGTTGTCAACTGAAGGCGAACCACCTGGCCCTGGACAGCATGCTCTCCGGGCTTCGAAAACCAACCGCACAGCTCTCAGTTCCAACGCACGTTGATGTGAAGGTGGGCTTGACTTCCGGACCAGAGTCGGACACCGACAGACTGCCCAGAACACCCCAGCCCGTGAGGGCGCGCCGGTCTGAACTGTAAGAGCTGGCGTCGGGATTTCAGGGGATCCCCTGGTGAGATTCCCGACATTGGTCCACCACTGAAGGTGAAGGTGTCAACACACGAGGGGGACTGTGAGACTCCGCTCCAGAGTCCTCGAGTGAGCCCACAGACTTCGCCAAAAGCTTGCTGTATAGGGGCGCATCCTCAACAGCGCCCGCCACACTACAGAAGATAAAATTTAGCCATATGGCCCCAGTGAGGCCAGAGGCCAAGTCCGTGCTGGTGCCTGGGGCTGGAGAGAGAGCGAACAGCATCTCCCGTGCTCTGGTGACCTGGTTGGGCGACAAAGAGACAAGAACATGTTGAGTTGTAAAGCGCCGCGTCGCGAGAAAAACCAAGTCCTGGGTGGGTACCAGGTGGTTCATGAGGGTTTATGAGGTTTTATGTAGACAGCCACAGCTAGCATCCCCATGACTGCGCATGTCGCGCCGTGGTAGCGGCAGACTGTAAAGTCTCGCTTCAGGTGGGCCTGAACTTTGGATAGTTGGCTGAGGAGAAGAACAACATGCGGGGGAAAGCGTCACCAGTGCTCCCTTCCACCCACAGAGCCGAGGCATCTGACCGAAGCCAAAGGCAAAGGATCGACAGGCAAGCCTGGCCAAAGGGATCGAGCGAGCTTCAGGCGACTCAGTCCCCGATCCCCTCAACAGACGCTTCGTGAGCGAGGGACTTCACTGAGTCCATATGCTGTTGAAACAATTGTGTGATAGCGGACATATCAAAACCACTGGATTGAGAATGAAGTGTGACTTATCACGAGAAGTAGACTTAGATTTAGCCTTTTGGCCTTGGACAGGGGAACCTCCCTGGGTCAAGTCCCCTCCCGCCTCACGTAATTCCTTGTAAATAAGGAAGTCAGCCGTCCGTCTCTTCTGGGCCCAGGGAAAAGACCATACACAATTCACAGATGTCAGGGTTATGCCCTGCCTTCTCCAGACAGCATAAGCATTTATCATGCTTATCTGGCGAGGATATTTTGCCCATAGGAAGTACACCCAGTAAATGCCTGAAAAGCAAAGCAGCGCAAGCAAACGTAATGCTTGGCGTAACACAACAGCATAAATATACGTGCAAAACATTGAAAAGTCGCAATGAATCACGACCTTAGCGACATGAAATACTTGGTTAAAAGCGTAATATTTCAACCGCGTGGCATGCTAAACTTCCACGCCATGGAATAGCAACCGCGTCGCGTAAACCATGAGGAAAGCTAAGTAAAAAGTTAATTCAAAGTCACATAAATGAAATAACTGACTGCAAAGTCCAGAAAGCGTTTCTCAGAGCGAATAACAACCATACATACACAGTAGTTGAAGCTTCAGTCAAGCTGTATGATGAATTCGAATTCATGGGTCAAAAGCTACACATGACTCCGCGAACTGTCAAGTCAACTGCCCGTAAAGAATGTACCATTAAGACACATATGAAATGGGATGTAGAGTCTCCTTCTTATTGAACAACATGAACACAGTAGCAACTTTAAACCTGCCTTTGTCAAGCAGTTCTACGATGTAGTTGTCCAGGAAGGCAGGATGTCCTTATAGTGAGGGTGTAATATTCTCTCCGGAAGGTGAGAACTCCAGTACTCAAGTGCATCAAGACCAATAGCTGCAGGGGGAGATAACTCAGGCCCAAAGGTCAATGTCACCTGAAGATGAATAATAATACATGCATGGGGGATGGTATTTTTTAAGAACAAGACCTAAAACAAGTTTACTCTCTTTGGCTATCAGTAACAAAGGACATATCAAGATAAATTAACATTACTGGACATTGGGAGCAACACACAAGGTTTCAAAATGACATGTTAAAACAAATGGATCTTTGGTTGCATTTTGCTCCATTTGGTTCCAACAAAATATTTGGCACTAATTGTGATCCATACTTTAATATAGACTTATGACAGTGGAAGTTGCGCTGAATTGTTTCATACAATGGCACCCTGAATGAACTTTATGTGAACATATTTGGCTAAAAAAGCGACAAAAAATAGCGACTTCTATATATCATGAACACTGGACAAAAATTTTATCATTAAATTTGCTGCTACCTGAATGGCTGGAACAATCTCCAGTCATTTGTTCTGCTATAATCTCCTTGGGCAGAGCAAGGATTAGGGTGAGGCAGGCAGCCAGGAGGTCATCCGCTTGGTACTGCTTCATCCTCACCAACACCTCAACACAACAGCATCACTGCGACAATATAGTATCCACGTGAACCATATCAACACATAGCAGCTTCACACTGACAATATAGTATCCATGTGAACCACATCAACTCATCGCAGCTTCACATGACAATATAGTGGTCATATAAAAACCTCAACATAACAGGATATTGCTAAAAGTACATCAAGACAGACAATATATCTGAGTGTTACAACATTTAAATGTACCCGATTTACTGCACTGAATGGCTGTTTGGGTCTACAAAACTAAAGTAGAACAGATTTGAATCTAACAGGTGTACAATGAATAAAACAGATGAATATTCAGGTTTTTAGAGATGCTTCCAAATGCTTACATCTGAAATGGGATTGTTCTTGTGGTGTTAATGTTTACAAAAGGACCAGGAATATGTCAATATATCCAACCAATGATGACATCAACAAAAAGAATTAATTTAATGAACAGATATGGAGCCAAAATTCAAAATGAAATACAAATTGTGTAAAATGCATCCAGTAAGAGTTTCTAGCTGTATCCCTTCATATAAAGTCCCGAGGGTCTTCAAGATTTTTAAAGACCCATTTAAATGGTTAACATGACTGCTCTCTGTAACCATCAAGTTCTAGTTTCCATCCCGGTTTGTTACCTCCTTAGAGAACTTCATCATGAGCTGGTAGCTGACATCCTTCTGCTGGGGTCCTCCCCAGGTGACCATCGTCGACATCCATGGCATCAGCAGACTTCACGGAGACACTGGAGCCACATTCTGGAGGGAAACCACACACTATCAATGTTGGTACATATGTTATAGAGACAAATATAGAACCACTTTTCATAGAATACTATTGACTAATAAACACCATACAGGTCTTATTGAGGAAGCCATGACAAAATAACACCCATGTTTGTTTATCTTTCTATTCTATTTGTCAGTCCCCTTCCATTCTCCATCTGGAGTAACAAAGAGCACACATAGTTCCTTTTTCCCTTTCCACAACATCAAAAAACATCAAACACTAGCACTTCTTCCTTTATTATCTGTCCCACCTTGAAATAGTCTAGTTTGTTCCCAATCTTCATTGCAGCGGCCAGCATCTTGTAGAAGCCAGACACAGAGGATTCCTGGAATAAGGGGAGACATTATGTGGATTTATGTAAAACTATGAAAAAGGAAACAGCTTTGAAAAAAAATCTTATATGCTGACATGATGAATGCAACCAACAATTTACACCATTTACAACTGTTACTTACATGTCTTCAAATTATTTGTAAAGCACAAAAAATCAATGGTGGTGGGTGAAACACTTCTGGATTCAATTTGGTGATTCGTCTGCATACCCTATGGGAACTTCCTGGTAGCACTTCAATTTACTGCTGGGCTCTGCTGCTGCTGTAACCCTTTACTTCCAGCTTTCTCTGATGGGGACCACAATTATTTAACTTTTTGGTCCTTTAGCTTCTATTAACATTTTTATGTGAAAGTTTTAGCAATCCATCTCTTGATGCAAGAATCAAGTGGAGAAGCGACCCTTCTTATGTCTTGATGCGTCCTTACAAGTACTGGGTCTTATCACTTATGCTAGTCTGTCTTAGGCGTGCATATGGACTCCAAAGCTGTAACTCAGAGTGTTGGCTTTTACCAGAATCATGATAAGGGCGGAAGACTTCTGTCTCAAGCGCCTCTGTGGAACTGTCAATTGTTGTGCTACAACAAGTGGGTCGAAATAGTGAATGTAGAGAGCGTCTTCGATGGCGATGTCTCTCAGGTAGTGGTTGGCAAACACCATGTCCGATTTCCAAAAACAGCCCTCCATTATCCATTGATAAAGAGCAGTTTCCATAATAGGCAGTGTTGATGTCAGAGCTCTAATTTCATGTGGATTGGAGGCTCTTGGAGGGATCAAGTCCTGCTGCTTTGTAGGTCCGTGAAAGACTTGATTCTCATCCATATTATTGATAAGTAGTCGCGAGATCTCAGTCTGTGTCTCTGCGATGTAGGGGATGAAAAAAGATGCTTGAATTTTAGTCTCCTGGTCTAGACCTTTGTATGGGTAGACTTTTAATGCTCTTACTGGGCACAAGGATATGTGTCTGTATTTGGAAGGACTGATGATAGTGCTGGGATGTGGAATTGTCTGTCCGGTTGACCACAGCCCAGTTGATTCTTTGCTATAAGTCCATCTCAGTCCCATGCACAATGTTTACGATTTTCATCAAATGCGTGTCCTTTCAAAGTCTAGAGCATGTATTTCCGACATCCTTGCTGCTGTTGCTAAGGCAATCAGGAACAGAGTTTTCTGTGTCAGAACTCCAAAAGATGTCCTATCTAATGGTTCCATAAAAGCGTCACTGGTGAATGCCGTGAGAGAACTATGTTGAGGTCCCAAGCGGAGCTCTAAATCTCTGTTGTTGGTCCTCCAGTTTAAAAAGAGCATAGTAAGGCCAGTAACTCTGGTACCTTAGTCAGTTTACACTCGTCCTCGCCAAGTGATAGCTGAGCTCAATGCAGCTAGGTATGTTGATCATTGACCCTTTTAACCGTTTTGCCGTTTGTCTGTTGACAAAGATAGTCCGCCCACTTGAGGGTGTGTAAACTTTCATGGCTGAAGCCTGTTTCCTCAACGTGGTCCTCAAAGCCCATGCCTTGTGCATTACAAGTTGGCGTGTTGACTTCGCGTAAAGCTAAGCGTGACATTGCTTCGCCTGGTGGAATATCCTCTCTTATTCAAGCATATATCACGGTCCATGCGTGTAGGCGAACACACCTTCAAGAAGTTGCCCGTGTGCTTTGCTTTGTGGATGTACTAACAAGTTAAGTCCCTCTGGTAGTTGAGTTGGTAGGTCCTAGTTCTTGTATGAGAATGAGAACCATATTCTAGCTGGCCAATAAGGGCGATCAAAATCAGTTGGGTTCCTAAGTCTGCATGATTTTCTACCCAACACTTCATTATTAGAGGCGGTAGGCGGAGCGATAGCGTTTAGTCCTTCAAAGAGATGCTTAGAGGCATCTGTTGCTTTATGCTGTGGATCTGGTATTGGAGAAGACAAATGTTACCAGTTGATTGTTGAATCTTGTGACAGAATCTATTAGTGAAGCTCTATCTCTGTTTGAAGATTTCCAAATTCTGTTCCAAGGGATGGCTGAGTTGACTGCGAGATATTAGTCTGCTATCACATTCTTGGCTCCCTAGGAATAGGGCATGCTTTTATATGGATATTCAAATGGTCTGTTATGCTGAACAGATGGCCTGGACAGAGTTCAGAAAGGTTCAGCCAAGCATGATGACCCTTGACTGTTTAATAATAGAAACGCCACTGTGGAGGTGTCATCCGTGTGTACTGTTTAGATGAGCATTTCATAGAATGCTGGTCCAGTGGAGATATGGCGTTTATCACTGCTTTCATTTCTAGCATGTTGATATGTACCTGGGAATCTTGTAACTTCCATTTCCCAGCAGACGCTTAGATTTGTCGGGGTACGCTCCCATCACTTGGGAGAGATCGTCCACATATAGATGCGTTTTGCACACTCGGCTCTACTAAGTAGGTGCCTCCCATAAAATTCGATCTCTAATTCCTACATGGCCGTCGCCGTTTTAGTGCATCCGAGAAGTCGAGAGAGTCCGGATGCCGATCCCGGATGTGCAGTGGGCGAGGCCTGTGGTGGGCGTGGTTGTAATCTCCCTCCTCTTGGCGTCATATCCTGTGCTGGCGTGAGGGAGACCCAACAGACTCTGCCACTGTCCGGATTGGCCACAGAAGAGTAGGAAGCTTAGAGCTGCCGTCTGTTATATCTTTGGCCAAGGGGTCTGTATAAAGGTAGACTGGCTGCCGTGAAATCAAAAGTCCGTCAAGCGGTATGTTGCTTGCGTTGGCGCTGATGAATGCGTCTTCAATGATGACGGGGAAGGTCTCTAACCCGTGAACAGACAATGGAATCCGCGTAGTTCCGTCTAACTGGACTGTAATTGAAGGCCTTCACTCCCTGCGTTGAAGGTTGGTTGTCGCTTGTAAACGGATTCCCTGACATGTGAACTTCGTCAGGCTTCTGCATGGGCGTTGTCTCTCATGGACCAGTAAAGATGGTGCAGTTCGCTGGCTTTTGCTCCAGCGATGTGGCGTCACTGGTGTAGCAGAAAAAAGGTCCTTGTAGAATCTTATTGCAGTGCGTTGATATCTTATCAACACTTTCGGTCTTCAATCCGTAGAGCTTCGGAGTTACTCACAGTGACCACCATGTATAGAAGGTAGCATGGTAGCCGGCGAAAGATTTGGCAGCGTAATACCGATAATAGGTAGGCTGTTTTTCCTGGCTGCTGTGACTGTTGCACTTCAGACCTGAAAGACAAAGTACAGTCATCCCTTTTATACAGATGATCAAAGCTGAAGTCTACACCTCCTCGGCGCTGCTACTTATGGAGCTACATTCGCCGAGTCTCAATGGAGGCGTCGTAAATTACCCTCTTTGTGTTAGAAATACACAAGTCCTTATGGAATTTGATACTCAACTTTATTATAAGTTCTACCAAAGGGATTAGTTGATGATTTTGTAGTTTATCAATCAATCTGGAACCTTATACAGGAGTCCCATGTAGTATGGCGAGAATTCCAGCCTTGAACGTTGAGGAATATGTTGACTTTTATAACCTCCTGCGCCTTAACAAGGCTGCTGCTGAACCAGCGTATGTAGATACCTGAAGATCTGTATGCGCTGAAGTGGCCCGATCTCTGCTATGGACATGAGTCCCGTTGGCGTATTATCTGATGTAGATATATCTATACTAAAATTTCTCAACGATGTGAATCCGTCCTGGATTCTGATCACAGAAGATCTGCGCAGGTGATAGAATTGAGGACCCAAAGGAAGTACCCCTCTTGTTCCAGCTTCAGCCGCGTGTTATAATCTTTCCGCCGGCGAAGATCTCTTCCTCCATGCTGGCGAGTTCCGCGCCCATTATAGGCTCACAACGAAAGATCAAAGGTCTGAGGTTGAAGTGCGGTCGTCCAATGGCGTCTATATTGGTGGTCGAAACTGCCCAGAGCATGATTGTCAAGTCGCGTGATCGCTTCACACATTTCTTCACATGCCGATTACCTCCCGCGGCTTCGTCGCTTTATGGGCTTTTTGTGTTGAACTTTGTGGGATGTTTGGAGCTGGAACTTGGTTGCCTTTCACAAGGCTGCGTCAAGATCTCTGAGTACGGAGTGGGGCGAGGTCAATTGAAGGTAGAGTATTAGTGTCCACATCGTAGGTCGCTTCATTGGAATGCGTAAATGCTTCATTCTCTTCCGTAGATGGTGGCAGCTGGGTCCAGTCATCCGTTATGCAATATTTTATCTCTGGAGTCCCGAGAATTATGATGCAGCCATGGGTCATCTGTATCATGTCCACTGGTATATGATGGATTTGAATATCATGGGTGCATGTGGAGATCTGCGTGGCGATCTACGTGGCGATCTACGTGGCGATCTGTGTGGAGATGGGTAAGTTGAACTACGTGTAGTTCTAGAAGCGTCTGTATGGGGACCTGCGTGGAGGTGGCGTCTTCTGGGGAAGTGAGTTGCTGGCTTCCTGGCAGTATATTTCCTGAAGTGGTGAATCCCATGACGACCTGTGAGGGTGTTGTTGGCGCCCATGAAGATGAATTCAGAGCGACCTTAGCGGGTGAGAGGAGGAGGGGTTTGTTGAGGGTCTGAGTCGAGGCGATCTCTCTAAACCAGCTGGGAGGTGTGGGTTTCTTTCTCTGTGAAGTGGGTGTCGTCTGATGACGATCTATTTTTGTTCTGAAGAGCGTGCCCTCCTTCGCTGCGGGTTTGCTGACAGCGTCATGCAGTGTAGGTCTGCTCTTAGTCCTAGAGCTGAATCCTCTGGTAGGACTCTCAGATGTATCATCGGTGTGGGGTCCTTAGGTGCAGGGCTGGATCCTCTCTAGAGGTTGATGACTTAGGGATGAGAGCCGCCCTGGCTGTCCATCATCGCGATGTTCTTTCCTGCATGAAAGCACTTCTCCATCATTTCCATCATTTTGTTGAGAGAATTGCTGCATAGAAGGCCCGAGGGTTGGATGTCTGTGGCGACTGTAGAGATATGGCAGCATCTGAGAGGGTAGCGATATGGTCCAGGGATACCAGCTGTACCTGCTTCGGTCCCTACTGCCAGTGTAGAAGAGTAACTAAGAGCTGTGCTGGCAGCGTTGCAGTGCTGGAAACCTTCGTCTGCGCTTCTTATGCGGTATCTCTGGGATGAGGGATGGCGGTTCTTCATTTACAAGCCTGTTTCTTCCCATCGAGCGATCACCGGCAGAGAAGGTCCTTGTAGTCTGAAGAGCTCCCAGTGAGATCGTTGAAGCCTTAGGGGTGTAAAGGCTTCTTCTGCAGCTGAAGATGGCCTCTTTTCTTCATATGGGTTGAGGAGTTGTCCGGCGTAGAAAGATCTTGCTCCGCCCGGACTTCATCCACGCCAGCATCTTCTGAAAGCACGCCTCCGGCAGAGTCACTGGATGAGGAAATCGATGCATTCGACAACGACGGAGCAACTCTTAAAGGGACTCAACCCGGTTTAGCGCTGACTTGCCAACAACCGCCTGGATTTATCCTTAGCATGTTTTAAAGATACAGAGAAATAATAATTAACTAAATTCCAATTTTTTTGTTAGTTGCTGTAATTTACAAGCGAGAGCTGGAAGTACATATTAGCGTGCAACTGGGGCACAATAAATCTTGGGGTCTGCAGCAGGGAACCTAAACCTACAAGCGAAAACAGGTTTTTCATGAAATGTAAAGCAAAGCTGAACCAATCACTTGAGAACACGTGCATAAACGGTCAAAATTGCTAATAAATTTCAGAAGCCATATTGTAGAGAAGGATACTCCTGAAACCTTATAAGGTAGAATTGTAGGGTAATAACTAAGTTAGCAAAGGGATGTAGTGCGGTGTTGGAGACACAGGTGCTCTCCCACTTAGATCCACTAGAGGCGAAGAAGGAGAGAGTGAAGAGTGTGAAAGGCAGATTGGCCCGTTCCGCCAAAACAGAGAGGGGAGACAGCTTCGTGGTGAGTAAAGTGATTACAAATCTGCTTTTTAGAGGAGCTTCAAAAGGAGATACAAGTGTTCCACTAGCGTTAGGAGGAAGGAAGGGAGACGAAATCAATAATACATGAAAAGGTCAGGATAAGGAAAATAATGGACTTGAAAATATATTGATCATCATATTAGGATCTCTTGAAGTCTGTCTTACTGACTGACTGAGTTTGGTTTTACGCCGCTTTTAGCAATATTCCAGCAATATCACGGCGGGGGACACCAGAAATGTCTGACTGACTGACTGAGTTTGGTTTTACGCCGCTTTTAGCAATATTCCAGCAATATCACGGCAGGGGACACCAGAAATGGGCTTCACTCATTGTACCCATGTGGGGATTCGAACCCGGGTCTTCAGCATGACGAGACAACGCTTTAACCACTAGACTACCCCACCGGCCCTTCACACATTGTACCCATGTAGGGAATCGAACCTGTTTCTTCGGCGTGACGAGAGGACGCTTTCACCATTAGGCTACCCAACCGCCCCTTCTAATTTTGTATTAAATTCAGTCATCACTTGACAAAGACATTAATTCTTTATAAGGCAAACTGGTTAAATGAACTCACTGAGTGGAGAGAAGTATGACAGAGTGGCAGAAGGTGAACAGCCATCTTTCAAACAGCTCGTAGTGGCACACAGGCAGCAGGTCTCTGAAACACAACGGTATTTTGCATCACAAGGGAAACTGAAACACGACTTACTGTGGTCTCGTATGTAAGAAAATCATGGAAGTTTGTGGTTTTCCAACTCTCAGAAGCAGTTGGACTGATCCGTAACCATTTTGTGTCTACACATCTAAACTTAACCAAACCTGCAGAGGTTTTCAATTCTTTGAAGAGAGTCGTCCTTGGGGTACATATTATGCATTTTCCGGCTGAAAAATGTCCTGTGACAGTTGTATCAATGTTTTTTGAATAAAAAGATTGTACAATAAATAAACTCTTTTATTTATTATACGGACCCTACCTCACGGAGTTACCTCCCTTAGCGCATGCGCACCAACTGGGTAGGCTCCTAGACCCATTATCATCATTCCTTCTGCTGAATTCTTATCCAGTGAACAGAATTGCAGCGAGGAGGTGGGAGGCCCTACCTAGGGAGCGACTCTCTTCAAAGAATTGCTCTGCAGGTTTGAATGTAGTCTTTCAGAGAGATCGTCCTTGGAATTTTTATATTATGCATAAACACGGGACTCCCAAGGCCGGAGGCCAGGGAGGAGGAGTTCTGTCCAAGCACACTCAAAATATAGCGATGGTATCATGGAAAAAAAATTGAACAGGTGACTGCCATAACACTCACCTGTCACTTTCGACCCAGTTTAAGCTTCAGCGAAGGCATTATGGGGAGGGAACTGACAGGGAGGATTTGTGCTCAAAGGCGACCTCTAGCATAATGAGACATTACTTGCGCGTGGTCGCGAATATCAAAAGCAATCCGACCCACCACTAAGTGGCTTCTTTCATGAAAGGCACCGTGGGGGAAAACAAAAATACCACTCACTAACGATACAGTAACTCCGTGAAAGTCGAAGGGGTACAGGTTCTCTGAGTGAGCTCACATTAGCTGAACATGTCAATAATGGAATCTTATTGTACAGTAAGCGTCAAAACAAACCAATAAACCAAGACTCTCACTTTCGGTCAGGGTGGCAGGACACTGTCCACTGGAAGAACAGTGCTGGCCGGGTTTGCGATTAAGGGAGTCGTGTCGAGCTGATAATGGCGTATAAGCGTGCTTGGCGGCTCCAAATAGCGGGAGCAGATCTCTTCAATGGAGTGCCAATGCAAAAGCTTTGATAGCGGCTACTGCCCTGACCGAGTGAGCCTTCAACCCCCCTCGGGGAGGCTTGCCCTTAACCTGATAAGCGGCACAAATACCGCGATACTAGCCAGCGAGACAAAGTCTGCTTGCTTGGCTGGCGAACCAGCCTTCCGCCACCGTAACAACAGAACAGCTGGGTACCCGATGCGGATTCCCTGCGTTCGTTTGAAAGAATGAACTTTGAAATCTTACGGACATCCAGCGGGTGAGTGCTGCGTGGAGGTGGTCCCCGATGTGGAAGGCTGGGTAAAGAGTAGGAAGTTCGATAGGGCTGTCACATGGAAGCGTGATGACCTTCCGATTCGGTGTACAGTATCTGGGGGCCGAATACTGACCACGATCGAAGTGTGAAACACAGTCAGAAAGCGCCGAGTCCGGACGACATAACATGTAAATCGCCGACCCTTGCCGGCCAGATGTTACGCCACCGGAAACAACTTTCCAGGTCAACAACTGAATGGAAATAGCCGATAGGGTGTGAGAAAGTGGGACGGACAGCCATGTCGAAGCCGCGATCGATAAATCCCAAAGGTGGACTGGTTAAGCACACGAGGCAGCAGGTCGAATCCGTTCAGCCAGCCCGGCGGCTAATGCGAGAGGTGCTGCCCCAGAAGAGCACCATCGACAGGGGTGTGAAAAGAGTGGAAATACGATTGGTGGAGTAGCGAATGAATGGTGAAGCAGCCAGGCCTTCTTCAAAAGCGAGCTTGCAAAAAACTCCAATACTTTCGGGACTAAATCCGCAGAAAAGGGATCTGCAATCCCCTTATCTGAACACCAGCGTATGGCGGGACCACCTATCCTGCGTGCTGAGCGTTTGTCGAATCCGCCTCGAAGCCAGAATTGTGTCTGCAACTGCTGCAGGAATTCGGCGTGCCTGAGGTTAGACCTGACGGAAATTCCAAGCCACCCACTGAATCCGTGGATTTGGGTGGAGCGCTCCGTTCACGAGTGAGAATGTCCGTCGCATAAGGTAATGGGAACCGGAGAGGCTGAGCCAGAAACCTGAAATTACCGGAAACCAGCCCTGTGGCAGATTAAGCGATTGCCAGTAGCACCGAAGTAGCGAGCTGGCTGGGTGGACAACTAATGAAAGGACCGCGGGGAATGAGTGGTAATGGGCGGGGGCATGAACGCCAACTTGCCCGTCCAATCGCCAGCGAGAGAGGCGTGCGGCAGCCAGCGCCCTGGATCGGTATCGCAAGAGCAGAGTGCGAGGTGTACTGATGCCGTAACGTCCCGCGAGGCATAAACAGATCCACCTCGAGCGACCCGATACAACTTGGGGAGATTACTGCTGAATATCTGCCTGTCGAGCACTCCACTTTCGTCTTGAGGCCAGGATCCGGCGAAGAGCGCATCTGCTTCGCCGCGTTCTCCAGCCGGAGATCCAAACAGGAGTACCTGACAATCGTATAAAGGTAGCTTCCAGAGGAAAATCCACGCTTCCGGAGGCCGCTGAAGAGACACCGTGCCTCCCTGCTTCAGGATGTATGCGACATGGCCGTCTGGTTGTCTAACTGAAAGGCGGACTACCTGGCCGGACATACTCTCCTGAAGCATTTCGAATACCAACGCACAGCTCTCAGTTCCAACTACGTTAGTGGCGAGGTGAGGCTTGACTTGGGACCAGAAGTCGGGAAGCCGACGAACTACCAGAAACGCCCCCAGCCAGGTGAGCGCATCTCTGTCTGAACTGTGAGAGCTGGCCGTGTCGGGGATTTCCAAGGAACCCCCTGGTGAGATTCCCGACATTTGTCCACCACACTGAAGGTGAGGTGTGTCAACCACTGGGGACTGTGAGGACTGCGGCTCCCGATCCTCCGTGTGAGTCCACAACCGAGCCAAAAGCTTCCGCTTGTGTATGGGGCAGCATCTCAACCCACAGCGCCCGCCACACTACGAAGATAAATTCGCCCGCCATATGGCTTTGGTAGACAAGCCCAGGCCAGTCGTGCTAATTGCCTGGGGCTGGAGAGGAATGAAGAGACCATCTCGAACTCTGGTGACCATTCGGGCGACAAGGAGAAAGCGAGATCGCCTTGTTGCGTTTGGAATCGCGTATCAAGAAAAAACCAAGTCCTGGGTGGGTACCAGGTGAAGATTTCAAAGGATGATCCACGATCCTGATGAGTTAGAATGTCTATCACTGTGTGAGTAGCATCTTGTTCGCTGGCTGTGCCAGATGCTCCGAGCAACCAATGCGTCTAGGTAGGGAGATAACAAGCGTAGCCTTCCGCACCTAGCGGCGAGCTACAGGGTAACTGGGACTAACATGAAGCCTGAGTATTGAACACCCTTAAGGGCGGTCGATGATGCGAAGAGGGAGCACCCTGAATTGATATACGTCCCAATAGGTAAGAAGGAGCGAAGGGTACTGCTTGAGCGATGGATAACATAGACTGCCACATCTGAATCGCAGCATCCTTTGAGTCGGTGGCGTGTGAATAATCGCCAGGCTACGAACAGAATGAGATCACCCGGCGCAGTGTCTCCATCTTGAAGGATGGTACTTGAGCATCTTGATTCAACCCCTTGAGGTTGAGAATGGGGCCGGAACCGCCGTCTTTCAGCCGGGGCGAGGAAGTGGGTAAGATCCAAAATCCGCCTGTTCTACTCCCGGTGCGAATTAAAAACTCGATTGGGACTTAATCCAGCAGAGCCTGAACTTGTTCAGCGCAATATGTCCGCCCTGGCGACATGGCGGCACCCGGTCGCGGCGTATGCCGGTAGTCGGCCGGACCTACGCTTCCACAGTGGGGAATGGCCTAGGCTGACCGTGGCCAACACCGCGTTATTGGTAACCTTCTCCCGATCCGGCCCAGGAATAGAAAGCGACGCCCACTGGATATGGGGTAAGGGCTGGCGTGTGTAGACCGATGGCCGGGCTGACTGGAAGCGTGACACCGCGGCTTGGCTGACAGCCTGATGAGTTAACGGGGAGGTTGGGGCAGACCTCGGCAGCCAGCGAGCTGCGGAGCTGGTGGGACTGCTCGCGCCTTGGCCGGACGTTTCTCGCCTACCTATAGCGGGCTTGACCAACCCGGCGAACTTCACGGTGTAGAAGCTGCACGGCGGAGAAGGTGGCAGGGGCGAACACATGAGTGCTCAACAAGACGCCAGAGTCGCCCGAAGGAGGTAGCTGCATGACAGCCTCCGCATTATGACCTGCTGGGCCCTGGAAGAAGGTCGGCTCCCAGGCGGAGGGAGGGGCCAGCAAGGTCTGCTGTGTTGCTGCCGAGAGTACCTAGACGTCGACAGCCACAGCGGCGCATACCATGACTGCGCTATCACATCACCGTCGGCGCAGCAGAGCCGCAAAAAGACCGGTCGCCGAGGTGAGTTACTACGCTTCTAGCTGGCGGAGCAGCGCGACATGCGGCGATACGATCGTATGCATGCCCTCCGCCTCCAGGGCCGACCTCTGAACGAGGTAGAGGTAGGCCTCGGCCGGACCACCACCCGCACCTGCTGCATAGCGTTCCGGTGGAACCTCACCGTCAGTACCGATGCGTGCCGCGAAGCGCCAGGGCAAAGGTGGAGTAAGGCGCCCTTGCCGACAGCGAATGCCCTCCGGGAGAGCCGGAGCCTCCCCAGAGGCGGCGGAAGTGAAAACATTAGTCAGCAATTGGTGGTGCCGAACAGGGAATCCTCCCCAAGCTGGTAAGCGCCGCCGCGAGTTCAGGTAAGTCAAACCTTACTGGGGCGCAGACAGAAGGGGGATCGAGCCCGCGTCGAGAGACCAACGATGGCGGGAATCTTGAGCTTCTCGTCTATGAGGTTGCCTTCGAGGGCCAACGCCTTCAGGCAGAAAGCGGACTCCAGTCGAGTCCCGCGCCAACCAGCAGGCACCGCTGCAGCTGGGGTGAGCCCTCAAGCATTCTCGCCGGACCTCCCACATGAGCTGGCGAGGCGAAAGCGGAGGCTTGAAGTCCCGTCAGGCTCCTCGACCTCCAAGCTCCATTGCACCGGTGTCGAGCCCGAGTCGAGATGGGCTGGGTCTCCTCGATAAGGACCTAACCCCGACCGGTGGACTGCCGCTAACGCTAGGAACCACAGGAAGGAAGAACAGACGAACTGCTCCGCGTCAGCGCCAGATGCGTGGACCCGGTCCCGAAGGCGCTGGGAGGCAGGCCAGGCGAGAACTGGTGCCTCCCGGCTCTCGCAGAGGCGGGGTGCGCAGAGACGAGGAGTGCCAGGGAGTCACTCAAAAGCGGCCCCACCGGCCTGAGCGAGGGAGAGGACTGGGGTACCTCCCACCTCTCGGGCAACCCGGCGTCCCGGATCGAAAGCCAGGAGCAGCGGATCTACAGAGCGCCTCAAGGCGAGGATCGAGCGAGCCCGGCTGATCCCACCCGGACGCTCTCCGCCCCGTCCGGAGTGGGTGAGAACTCCTGCGGAGGGCATCCAGCGACTCGCGAACGAAGGACTTCTGTCCAGTCCATCTGCCTTTCGCACAACTATAGACTCCACATCAGTGACATGTCAAAACCCTACTCCAGTGGCAGGAGAGGGGAAGAGGCCGCGAGGATTTTCAGCCCTTTTTTGACACACGTTTGGACTTAGGGCGGAGAACCTCGTCAGGTCCCCCCTCACGCCCTCCGCGCGGCCAGCGATAGGAACAAGGTGGCCGACAGCCCGCCCTGCTTCTGGGCCGGGGAAAGGCCAGACAAATAGGACGAGGTCAGCCTCATGGCCGCAATCATCTCCAGACAAGAACGGGCGCCTTCTGCGATATGGCTGTGACCCGGGGATACTCCCTCACGGGCCGAACAGCATGAAAGACGCTGAAACAAACCTTAGCGTGTTGATTAGCGGCGGCCAGCAGCAGATCAAACGCGTGAAAACATTGAAAACTACGTGAAGGTTGCCGCGAGGAAAGTAATGGTTGGTTTTAATACGCCCAATATTACGACCACATGTACGTAACTTCCCGCCATGGCAGAGCAACACGTCGCGTGGCACCGCAGAGGGAAAGATGCGGTATTTAGTATGAATACAAAGTCCACAATTATGAAACAACCAACTGTAGCAAAGCTTTACTGTTCTTTGTTTGCAGACAAATAAAAGACCATACATACAGGTGGTGTCTCAGACATAGTCTCTTTTAACAGCGCCCGTGCAGTATGGAATGGGTTATCCAAACTGCATCTGTTCCGCGGCGTGACAGCAGAAAGGAATGATGATCTGCGGTGCAGGCCTACCCGGTTGAATAGCATGCGTAGGAGGTAACGCTGTACAAGTGGTCTAAAACACACAAGTGGTATCAAGAGTCCCCTCCCTTTGTCCATTAGGATGAACTGGTCAAATGCTTGGAATAACTTAATTTCATCATCATCATCATCATCATCATCATCATCATCATCAACATCAACAGACCTGTAATGGACATACTATCATCATCATCATCATCATCATTTCATCATCATCATCATCATCATCAACAGACCTGTAATGACCTGTAATGGGGACATACTACTACCGACCTGCAGAAGTCCACCAGGTTGATGAGGACCTGGAAGTCCCGGGGTCTGTTGGCCTGGACTCCAGATGTTGGATCTGCAGATGTCTCTACTGCGTCTTCTGGTAATGACCCTTCCACCTGAAGTAACAGATCCACATGGTCAGTCTCTGGCTGTCTAGTACATACATACATACATGCATACAAACATTTGTATAGTGCCGATATCCAGTACAACTGCTCAAAGGCGCTTTGTTTTCCCTTGATCATTGGATATCCATCACAACGGCACATCATATTTTTCAATCTCAACTCCCTGGGGATCATACAACTCTTGCTGCCTACTAGGCACAGCTGGGTGGACTGGGATGCATAGTCACAGTACTTTGTCCAAGTTTACTGCACGTTGCTGTACCCGCAACTAGGTGTTTGCACATATACACATAAATTCAGTACTGCACTGCCATTCATTATGGACACATGTCTGAGGTTTTCTTTAAGATTGAGCTTCATATATGTGTGTGCATTTTTAAGAGTGAGTGAGAACTACTATATATTAATCTTTGTGGTAAATCACTTTCACTTGTCATGTCGAATGCCTACTCACTGTAGAAGATAAAACACGACAACAGATCTCCTATGTATATAATTGACTGATCTGAATTGAATTGAATCAGGATATTGTTCCCGAAAACATAACAGTGAGCTTGGTCATGAAAAGACAACTCATGAGACTGAAACATTTAGTTGGAGGTAATGCTACCTTCTCGGCAGCTGATGACAGGTCGAGTTTGTTGAGGATCTTTATTGTGGAGGTCATCAGTTCATCATACATGGCCTCAGTCAGCCGGTGACGGTCAGCAATGCTGATGTCCTCACTTGCAAAGGCCTTAGAGAGAAGAAACAAAAGACTACCAAGCATCTGACTTTTAAGACACAGGCAATAAAAACAATTAAACTATGACTTGTTTAACTGGTCTGCAGAATTCAATTTAACCTAAACATACAAAAATCCTAAAAGTGAACATTAGTGATTTGCCTTTAATTCCTCTTTGAAAAGCATTTACTACACAGGTGAAGGCCAAGCCACATGGCAGGTGGGTTCAGCAAGGCTCCCCCTTTAGGAAATAATACATGGATTCATATCCACTGGATATGGATCGTTATCAGGGCATCATCAAACCCTGGATTGGATCCCATGATTTTATTTATAGTCCACTACATTGATAAGGGAAACAACTCTGCAAACCATAAACCACTAGACACGAGTTGACTTACTACTTTGACAGGAATGGGATATTTATGATAACAATGACCATTCATCATACTGCATGAATCCACAGGGAAGCTGTGAACAAGTTGGAAACAGACCTCTTGGAAATGTGTTTTTATTTCAAATGACACAGCCTGGCTTTATAAATAGTTTTGCAATGTCACTGCCCCATGCACTGTATGACTTTGATTGCCCTGTGGACTTGAATCCATCATTCATCAACACTTGGGTGATTTCTGGCCTTCAAAACTATGACTGACTGACTGAGTTTGGTTTTATGCCGCTTTTAGCAATATTCCAGCAACATCACGGCCGGGGACACCAGAAATGGGTTTAACACAGTGTACCCATGTGGGGATTCGAACCCGGGTCTTCGGCGTGACGAGCCAACGCTTTGACCACTAGGCTACGCCACTGCCCCTCAAAACTATGAGCTGGCCTGTGCATTCATGTAGAGTTGATGCAAGAGAAAAGAAAGAGTTATACTCATATACACTGACAAGTTGCATTAGTACCAACACTATTTTCTATTTTAACGTTTGCTGTTTACCTCTGAACAGACATGAATATAGACCAAAGTGTTACCAACCTTGATTCTGGCACTGTTCAGCAGAGTCTGCCACAGCTCAATGTAGTCCTTGTATGACACTTTCTTCTCCGCTACATCTGGCGTTTGCTCCTCCGTCTGCTCAGTGTCCAAACTGACTGGATGGGAGCAGGTACGGATGAGGCCTTGATATACTGGAACATGGGAGAGAAACACCCATTATAGCAATGCTCCTCTGGAACTTTGAAGCCAGAGAACATCTCTCAGGAGCCTTGACTAATTATATACAGTTTTGTGTCCTCCTAAAGGGTGACATGGATGCCCCTACCACTTACATGAATGAACTGGTTCCTCCAACTTCAGCATGTTGCAAGACTCTATGGACTGACTGCACCCTATTGGTACAATCTGTCAGATGAAAAGGTTTGGTTTTAGTCATGAATCGAATCTTTATGACAAACTCCATTCACTCCACTTCCAAAAATATCCAATAACGACATTTTGACATGCGACGGTTTTCCCTATACACAGTCTATTCCATGTCTCAACTTGTATTAATGCTGAATGCCTGCAGTACTCACCCATGCCTGAAAGAACCTTCTGGAAAGTTGTTCCTTTCGCCATGAGAGCCAGTAAAACCTGCAGCATGGACTTCTGGCAGATGAAGCGAAGCTTAGGATGCACTTGTGGGAAGTTCTCCAGCAGTAGGACCAGCAGGTGTTCTAGGGTGGCAGCATAGGTGTCCGACACCTACAATATATACAGATTACAAACAGATGAAATGAAGCATTTGTGGACTTGTGAAATGTTCTCCAGCAGAAAATGAGTGAGCGAGTATGGTTTTATGCAGTTTTTAAGCAATATTCCAGCAATATCACTGACTGAGTTTGGTTTTATGCTGCTTTTAGCAATATTCCAGCAATATCACAGCAGGGTACACCAGAAATGGGCTTCACACATAATATTCATGAGGGAATCGAACCCGGGTCTTGGGCGTGACGAGCGAATGCTTAAACCACAAGGCTACCCCACCGCCCCTCCAGCAGAAAGACCAGCTGGTGTTTTAAGATGGCAGCACAGGTGCCCGACACCTACAGTATACACAGATACACAATATACAAACAGATGAAGATGATGAAATACAGAAAGTGTAATGGATGTCATCCTCCACAACCACTCACCTGGTCCACCTCCTTCACTATGTAAGCCAGGGCCTCCAGGTAGCTGGGAAGGGAGACAATCCTGTCCTCCAGATCCTCCACTTGTCTGTAACACACACACACACACCAAGGTTGTACTTTTTTAGCTCCATGCTCATACATTCTACATACTTTCCTCACAATGAGCCTGTGAGATGTATGGAAGACGATATGTCACTACTGTGGTTTCTTGTTGCATGTAACTGAATATAACAGTTGCTTCTTGTTTCAACACACCTATCATAAATGCCATTTAAAGTAACTAGGATTTACCCAAGGAACTGCTGTTCACACTTGCTGATCATCTCGCTGAACATGAACTGAACATCAGACGGAGACAGGAAGGAACGACATGGCTGAAGACACAAACAACTTAATTGCATATTATGAAACATTTGCATATTTAGTTTGTACAATGTTTAGCTCTGCACTCATCAGTGATCTTTCAATATGATGGTGGCCCTGTAATAACTCTATGAACAAGTCAGTGCATTGGTAGGTATTCTGATTAACGATCCACCCCATCAAAGTGTGTTAATGTGCTATCAACAAAGTCACTGAGCCTGACCACCTGATCCACCTTATGGCCAGCTTATGTTGCTACAGGCCAGTTCTAACCCAGAAGGTCACTCACATACTGAATCTCCTGAATAGAAAGAATTATTTAAGGCCACAAAGAGGGACACTACAGAGCATTAAAGTCTTCATTGAGCATTTATATTAAACTAGAATCATGTCTTTTTTCAGATCTTGTTAGGACAAGCTGTTTGTTTGTTTTCTTATATAAACTCCAGCTACATTAAAATGCCTTACTGCAACAAAGAAAACAACAAATCAACATAATGAGGCTTCAAAAGCAAGACAAGTGTCACTCACTGCAGCCAACAAGCCGTATCCCCTGATAGCCAGGGACACTTGCTTGGAGCTTGACTTGTTATCATTCATGATGTTACGGAACTGCTGGATGAAAAACTGAAAGTAAACAGGGTTATGTGATAACTCCTTCACAACATAAATTCCTTACACACACATTGAGACAAAGTTAGAATAGCTGTTTTGCTCCAGGTCCCCATTGCACAAAGTGATCTCAGGTCTTAAATCTATGTTAAGTACAGGATTTACAATCACCTAGCATAATATCACTCTGTGGAATGGGATCCTGGATATGCTGGAAGGGAGGCAACCACGATATAACAGAATCTGACAACACTCAAATAGATTGTTCATCATGTTCTGTGACATGAGCTACTGTGACCATGGTTCCATTGAGAATTCCTAAATACATTGTGACAACAAGAAATAGGATGAGAGACAAAGGAAGCTCCATGTGTTTAAGATTTGATGCCTTTTTCAAACAGATGAATTTTCACAAAACAAAGTAAAATAAAAGTAATATAATTAGACTGACTGACTGACTGAGTTTGGTTTCACGGCGCTTTTAGCAATATTCCAGCAACATCAATGCATGGGGACACCAGAAATGGGCTTCACACATTGTACCCGGTATGTGGGATTGAACCCGGTCTTCGGTGTGACGAGGATAATTACAACTTACCTTGAACACAGCTCCCTCTTTCTTCCCTTCCTGGGCACGGACAACTAACATCTCCCAAGAACCTGAACCAGTCAGTACACACAATCAGCTACAAAATCTTACAGTGTGACCCAAAACATGTTATTATAAGTTATGCCAATGACAATGTATTACACATAAAACTCTCAACGGAAAGACTGACTGACTGACGGTGTTTGGTTTTATGCCGCTTTTAGCAATATTCCAGCAACATCATGGCGGAGGACACCAGAAATGGGCTTCACACATTGTACCCATGTGGGGATTCGAACCCGGGTCTTCGGCGTGACGAGACAACGCTTTAACCACTAGGCTACCCCACCGCCCCTGCTACGGAAAGATCTGTAGGTGGTGACAATTATGTCAAAAGAGCTGAATGTTAATGTATACTGTGTTTCTGATGTTCTTGTCATGTTTTACTGGACAGACTGTACAGTATTCAGATAGAGACCTGTTTGAGGAAAGACTCCATGGCCATCATGCCGAGATGTGCCAGTTCTCGATTGTGGTGCCGGTTCCAGCTGAGAAACTTCTCATACATCCCCTGAAATATCAACATGACAGACATTAGATATTCAGCACTCAGTAAGTGGTTGGGTTAGAGTGCGTGAGGGTTTGAGTGAGTGAGAGAGTGGTTGAGTGAGTGAGTCAATTTTTATGCAGCGTTTTGGTAAAATTCATGGACCCCAGAATAATGATAAACCAAGAATCATGATCAGGGCGAATGGAACATGATTTCCTCACACCTAAACGACACAACATTTTGACAAATGTGTCAAATTCGTCTAAACTAATGGAATCAAAACTAAATAGAACCAGGTATATCACTGTCCCTCTGATCACTGACCCATGTTCCTAGCCTTACCTGGTAGTCGTCCATGATGAACTGGTTGAACTGCCCACAGTGTTTACCAAACAGTCGGAGACCACCTCGAGGTACATCATATCTGGAGAAACTGATCCCAGGGTCAATAGCCATCACGGGCATATTTGAAGATTGCATAGCTGTGTTTTGATCCTGCAAAGAGAGTATGATCATTAAAAATGTCAGGATGTGTTTATTTATTGAAAGAAAATCATTGCATGCGTAGTTTTGGGTGGTTGTAACAGTGTAAATGGCTACAGTAGCTGTTTGTAATGATCATATTTAAAATGGAATCTGGGATTCCTTCTAAGTCTTAATACCTTCCCTCTGCTGACTGTGTGAAGTTAACAAGATAGGCTGTCAGTCCTTCCAAACACCCAGCTATAACTGGTAATTCTGGTTTGCGGGTCTTTGACTCCATCTGCAATAAACACAATTAATTACTACTTGTGGAGGCAGTGGTGGTGGTGGTGGTAGTAGTAGTCTCAGTAGTAGTGGTGGTGGTGGTAGTAGAAGTAGTAGTCGTCTCAGAAGTAGGGGCTGCTGTTGTAGAAGTACATGGAGTAGCCACAGCACAATGCTAGCTGTGGTAGTAGAGGAAAGAGTGGGTGAGTGAGTGAGTGAGTGAGTGAGTGAGTTTAGTTTTATGCCACTTTTAGCAATATTCCAGCAATATCACAAAGGAGACACCAGAAATTAGTGCTGTAACGACACATCGAACTATCGATGGATTGCAATTGTTGAGTCTCTGATAACAATTAATCGATGGTAGAAACGAAAAACTATCGATGCATCGAGAATATGTGTGACTATCGATAGTTTAGCAATTGACTTCCGTTGATAAATGCGCAGCGCAAAATACAGGAAGTACTAGATTCGTTCACTTTGATTTAGAGTTATCCGCCCCTGTTAAACAAACATGGAGGCAAACACGGCATGCAACTCGAAGTTTGAAATTGTGAATAACAATACGTTATGTTTTAACTGTTTACTTGATCTGGGTTTCAAGTTTCTTGTCAGTTATTAAAAGATACTGAAACTACTTCAACATTGTTTTTATTTCATATAAACTATACATTCATTTGGGAAATGACTTCAAATGAGTCAATTCGAGGAAAAAAACCTGTTGCAATAGAATTACAATAGTATTGCAATAGTTGGTCGCAATACATTATCACTATCGCAATAGTATGTTGCAATAGACTATCGCTATCACAATAGTTGTTTACCCCTCAATAGACACCCCTACCAGAAATGAGCTTCACATATCATGACCACGCGGAGTGGTTGTGGTGGGTGTAGAAGCATTCACATATAGTCTGACTGACTGACTGAGTTTGGTTTTTATGCCGCTTTTAGCAATATTCTAGCAACATCATGGAGGGGGACACCAGAAATGGGCTTCACACATTGTACCCATGTGGGGATTTGAACCCGGGTCTTCGGCGTGACGAGCTAACGCTTTAACCATTAGGCTACCCCTTCACCCCTCACATATAGTCTAGATTGCCACAACGGACGAGGTACACACCTCAGCTTTTACGGCATCCACATACAGTCTGTCACTATCCACAATTTACATACCTCAGCTTTCAGGGCATTCACATACAGCCCGACCAGCCTCTCCGAGTAGTCTGCCATCAGTTCCGGATACACCTCAGATATTACTCCCAGCAGCTGGTAGACATTTGCCTTCACTGAAAATGTCACGAAAGGATTAGCAGCTAAAACAGTCATTTATTTGTGTACTTGCAGTTTAATGCCACATGAAACAATTTTCCAGCTATATGACGTAGTGGTGGTCCGATTAATTGAAAAAAATCGACGATTGGTCGCAGTGACTAAATGACCAAGCAATCCATCATGTTTTCTCATAATCGAACACAAACAATTCTGGAACACTTTTTGCATTAACAATATTTTTCACACTGTTGGTTTTGTCTGTGACATTTCATGAGCACTACATGCTCGTTCTAAGTCACAATTGAATTTATTTTATAGACGACAAGAAATTTATGTTCCTAACATACTAGTCATCATTTAAAGATGTGCAATGTGTGAAAAAACAACCCAGGAACAGCATGTTTTTTCTTTATTTTTTGTGCATTAACAAAAATAACCAGGAACATTTCATAAATGACGCTAACCAATTATTTTCGATGATTGATCAGTTGTAATGAACCAATCATCAATTATGAGATTTGAACCAATTCCCACCAGTAATATGACGGCAGTCTGTGAATATGACAATCCTGTGACTGACATCACGCATTGATCTACGCATCTGGGGGGACACAGTGACAGGCATCAGCCAAGTCAGCAGGCCTAACTGGCGAATCATGTGAGTCGCCTCTCAAGATAATCTTTGCCTCATGATCTTTGATATCAGCTGTTTGTGCCATATTCCCCATTTGATTATCATTATTCCTCATCATGTAGATTCATACAGTTATACAGCTTCTGCTTTTTGTCTTTTAACTGGAAAACTATTCAAAGCTTAAGTTTTGTGAATTATAGTATACTTCAGGCCCCATGTCACAAAGCCCCTGTAAGGCTAAGATCTCATAACCTTTCTCGTAGCACTCATACCTCCTATGCTGTAACAGAGGAAGTACAAATGCTACGAGAAAAGTTACGAAATATTAGGCTTATGAGAGCTTTGTGAAACAGGGCCCAGGTAGATTAATTCTAAAGCTCTTCCCTTACCTGATGCCTGTAGTTTACTGGCGCTCTTGGTTAGCTCCATGAAGAGCTTCTCAGTGAGCTTGTTGACCTTCAGCTGGTCCCCCATGGCTGACCCTGCACTAACCTCCAGGAGCTGGCAGGAAGGTCAAGGTCAAACTTTGCATTATCAAAAACCAACTTCTTAAACTAAAATTGGAAATTTTAAATATAAATTGTATATTTATATACTTATCCTATCTCACGGTATGCACTTCTCTCTCTTGATTCGACACTGAGTGGAACGATGTAAACTTTTTTCCCTTGGCCTCTCTTGTCCATCCATCCGCCCAAGCACTCCATGCTACCCTCATTATAAGACAGCTTCCTAGTTGTCATGCAAAGCATGCGGCAAGCTACCCACATGACTATCTCCGAATCATCATTCTCATTCTTGGAGCCACTGGAATATTAATCTTAGAGAATCTGCAGAGCGGGGAGGATGGCTGGGAATCCGTCGTGTGAGATAGGATAAGTATATAAATATACAATTTATATTTAAAATTTCCAAATTTTTAAAGTTATCCTATCTCACTGTATGCACTTATCCAACGGTTGGACAGCGGGACGCAGATACCCTGTGTTTTGTCAGTGCGAACAGTAGAACTGTGTAGACTGGAAACAACCGTAGATAGCCATGCACAAGGGAGGCCTGTTATGGCTAGCGCAACTCCTATGCTTGTGACGAGTTCCTCTGAACTCCTTGGCTTACTAAGCACAAAATCTCCCAGGGAGATGGGTGCTCCCGAGCAATGTGGTGTTCGGCCGCATCCTCCGAAGAAGGACGCAGCTCAGCGAGAAAGGATGTCACTTCGCCACGATTTTCAAGGTACCCCCGTAAATTAAAGTCATAGACAATAATCAGGCCAGCCCTGCTTCGAGAAGACCCCCACAGACACCGACCAGGGGCGGGTGAAAGAGAAGCACAACTCACGAAAACTCGCAGTTTTAATGTTAAGTTCCAGTCAACATCAAATTGACCCTCACTCCTAGTCAAAGGATGAGCCTAGCAATTTCGGAGTCGGAACACTGAATGAAATCCACTGGAATTCGGGAGTGACACACTTCACTGACGTAATTGCTTCGAAAAGTAGAGGTCAGGAAACGTGAAATGTCGAACCCTTCCACATCGTGATACAGAATCAGTGCTCCAGATTCGTCCAACCACCTAGGTGGTAGTATCTCCGTGTCTTAGTATAAAACTAAGTGAAGTAGTTCTAACCCATAGGCAATCAAAACTTAAGGCAGACATCAAGTTCAGACTTATATTCAGGAAAGTGCAGGGAAGCAGCAACCGCGTGGGACCGTACCCTATCTGCGTTGTTGGGCCGTAGACAGCTGTTGTGCGAGAACAAGGGGTCCAAACTGGTACAGGCCTTGGACATCCTTGACTGAGAGGTCCTGAAGGTAGTGGTAGGAGAAGATCGAGTCAGATCGCCAGAAGCATCCTTCCATAATGGCGTGGAGAGAGCAGTTACTATGCAGAGACGTAGACGCTAACGCCCGTGTCTCATGTGGATTGGAAGCTGTCGGGGCCGGTAACCCAGTGAAGGTGTAAGCCCATAGGATGGTGGCTCTCATCCAGAAGGATAATGTGGTGCGAGACACTTCCGCCCTGGATGTTGAGGACAACAGAATGAAGAGGGGCTTGTGGAGATGGCGGCGATCTTTAGAAGCAGCAAGAAAAATCTTCAAAGCCATAACAGGGCAAAGCTGCAGGTCTTCATTGTCATGTGGCCCAAGGATCGTAGACAACGGTGGGATGGTAAATGTACGATCAGGTTGTCCCGGCAACTGATTCTTCGCTACGAAATCCCAACGGAGACCGAGGAAGACTCCTTCCGTTCAAACTGGACTCTGTTAACGTCCAAAGCGTGGAGTTCAGAAATTCGAGCAGCTGTAGCCAAGGCCACAAGTAAGAAGGTCTTGAAGGAAATCTGAGCTAGGGGTTCATAGTCTGCCGAGGCCAAATGACGCAGCACCACAGATAAATCCCATGCAGGAGGTCTAAACTTCTTAGACTGATCGGCCAACTTGAAGGACGAGAGCAAATACTGAAGCTCAGGAACCGTCGAGACCTTAGAACCTGTGGTGGTAGCCAGGACTGAGTTGATCGCAGCAACGTAAGTGGCCAAAGTGGAACCCTTGAGCTTCCTAGACGACCACAAATGCTGAAGAAACTCAGCGACGATTTGAGGTGAAGTAGAAATGGGAAATGTAATTCCTATGGACGTGCAATATCCCTCAAAACACTTCCGCTTCTCATCATAAAGTGAGCGGGTGGAAGTCCGATGAGCAGAAGTGATGGCCATAGCCACTCTCTGAGAATACCTCTTGGGGATTAAGGACTTCTGCAGATGCGCCAAACGTGCAGAGACAGGGTGTGAAGGGATAAGTGGCGTTGATCAGAGTGAGGGGGTAACAGTAGGTCGTCCCGAACGGGAAGAGGAACTGGGTTTAGGACTGCGAGCTGTGCGAGGTCGACAAACCAACTCCTGACTGGCCAGTAAGCATGACCAAAAGCAGTAGAATCTGTCTGGTCACCCTGAGTTTCTGGATGACTCTGGGTAGAAGAGACGGAGGGGGGAAGGCGTAAGCGTTGAGCCCCTCCAACGAAATCGCCAGAGCATCGAGATCCCATGCTAGTTGGTCTGGTATCGGCGAGACAAACTTCGGGAGCTGATGGTTGAACCGTGTGGCGAATAGGTCGACTTAGGGCCTTGATAACGGAAAGACCAGTTCCCGAAAGATCTGTGGTTTCCACTGCCACTCCGTGGGAGACGGCCGATCGGGGCCGGACAGCGCATCTGCGATGACATTCCTGACTCCGGGAATGTGTCTGGCTCTAGCATCGATGGCGAGGGAGTCAATTAGATGGAAGAAACGAAACTCCAGCCGAAGAAGGTTTGCCGAACCTGTCGACCCGAGATGGTCAATGTACCAGACGACCGTGGAGTTGTCTGTCTGAATCAGCAGGGAGGACTCCCGAAGTTCCGCCGCCCAATGTCGAATGCCAAGAAGAACCGCCAAGAACTCGAGTCCGTTGATGTCCCCGTCCCATTCTGCGGACGCACCACAGCCTGGTCGTCTGATGATGAAGAAAGTGACCCCCAAACCTTTGAGCGGCGCGTCGACGAACAATGGTGCGTTGGAATGAACGGCATCAAACAGACTCCAGCGCAAACATTCTGTTCTACAAGCCACCATTTAAGAAAAGAATGTAAAGGTTCGGGAAGATGAATCAACTCCTTGAGATTCTCTGAGACGAGATACGGACGCAGGAAACGCTGCAACGGACGCAGTTGCAATTGTCCCCGCCGTGTCAATGCCTGTGCCGATGTCAAGAGGCCCAAAAGTTCTTGCCCCTGGCGTAAAGTCCTGGGCTGGGAGAGCGCCAACGGAACTAGCCGTTGAATTTTCAGCCAACTGTCTTGGGGAACGAAAATCAGGCCCTGGTGCATGTCGAAAGTTGCCCCGATGAATTGAAGGGTCTGGGTCGGTGTTAGTTTCGACTTCGAAGCGCTTAACAGCTAACCCAGTGGCAGGAGAAGCTTCATACTGAACTCCAGCTGACGTAGAAGAAGACTGGGTCTCTCTGTGCCTGAATGCAGTCGTCTATGTAACTTTCGAACACGACCCCATGGAGATGAAGAAACCTGGTGATCGGCTTGGTGATCCTGGTAAATAGCCACGGGGCCATGGAAATTCCAAAAGGCAGGACGGTCCATTGAAAATGGATCCCTTGGAACATGAATCGGAGGAATTTCAGCAAATCCGGATGCTTAGGCACATGAAGATATGCAACATCTTGAAGGTCTAGGCTGACAAGAAAATCGCCTTTCTTCAGGATTGTGCGAAGAAGGACGATCGATACCATCCGGAAGTGAGGTGGGCGCTGAAGATAGGGGGCACTGAAAAGATTCACGTTGAAAATGAGTCTTATTTTTGTGGAATTTTTCTTGAAGAAACTGGACCTGGTCCGCCGGGTAGCTGCGATGTACCGGATGCACTGTCAGCGGCAGGCGTCCGATGACTGGAAGTTGATAGCCTTTGGCGAGGAGGTTGGTCACGAAAGGATCGTCTAGTATGGTCCAGTTGGGAGAGTCGTAAATGGGGACGGCTGGAGGCGGGAGTTCCCAGTCATGCCCTTGTTTCGACAAGTCACTGCTTGGGGGCCCCACTCGTGAAGAAGTGCCACGGGAGGACTGCTACCTCTACCTCGGGACGAATGGCCACGAAAACCCTGACACAGTTCTGGATGAGATGGCACAAACCGTGGAGGCTTTCTCTGTATCATGGAAACTTGCAGATGGGATTTCTGGAGTTGCAATAAAAAATAATTCCACCGAAACTTGAAATTGAGTGTCCCGATCCACCTTCGCTGAAACTTCCCCAATCATGCCATTAAACAAGGACTCTGCAGACCACTGTTGACAGAAGAGTTCATCCTTGAACCTGTCATCACATGAAGACAAATTGAGCGTGCTGTGACGTCGAACTGCCAGGAGATAACCAAGGAAATGAGACAGCTGGTCAAGTACGATCTAATAATTGGTCCAGTATAAGGGACATACAGCCTCTGATGTAAGCATCCTGATCGGTGAAAGAGTGCTCCACCGATGCCGCAACCGCGCCCACCACCGAGATGATGCAATTGATTGAGGGTAAGAAGCGACAAATAGCTGTGTCCATGTGAGACAGTTCTCTGTCCTCAAATAGAAAGGCTGAACAAGTCCTCTTCCCACAAAGTGTTTGGACATCTTCATCCACCGAAGGGGCAGTAGACAACGACTGGAACCAATGGGAATGAGCCGCCGGTAGGGAGAATCTAGGCGAAGACAGGCCATCCTTAATCCTTTTAAGGCTTTTAAAGGCATGATCCAAGGATGTAGTTATATGAGCAATACAAGGCCGTGGTGGGAAGGTAATAGATGCCAAGTCTCGTCTCATGGAGAAGGAATGTATAAGTCCTCTGGGCTCTGTGACATAGGGAGGTGGAGTTTCTCCACTATCCAAGCTAAGATTTGAGGTTCGTCGACAAAGTCCAAACTTCCCTCTGGGGAATCTACAACCAAATGTGCCGGGGATGTAGGATCCTGTGGAACACCAGGACTAGGCACCGCAACAGTTGGTCTTAGGGGAGGAGCACTCCCTGTTGAATGAACAGCCTGTTGTTGATTCCAAGCAGTAGTAAGAGCACTCAACATCGCAGCCAGATCTGGGGGAGGAGTAGTATCCTGCGCAGGAGTCCTGGAATCTGGTACAATCCAAGTACAGAGACGCGAGGAGGCAGGACTCCCGTCAGAAATCGTAGCACGCTCAGATCGAAGATCGGAGCCCTGTTGAGTACATCGTCTATTCGTAGAACCATATCTATGTCTGGAGGGGGACGAACCGGGAGAAGATGCACAAATAGAGACCCGCTGAGGAGAACGGGAGTAAGGAGGGGAGATATCGCAACGAGAACGACGATCCCTGGATCTTGAACGATAGGCAGCAGTCGACCGTGTAGGAGATCTAGGTTGACGGGTCGAGTGCGCAGAACCGGAAGTCCCATGATGACAAGATGACAAAATCCGAGGGGGTGACTTGGAATGAAAAACTGATCTCAACGAAACAGAGGGAGGCGTGTGCTTTGTTGAATGTGAACGAGTCGAAGAGTGGTATCTCGGCGGTGAAGTAGACCTACCAGGTCTATCCGGTGAACAAATCCGAATAAAATAGGAGACCTATCCAGACGACTCGGTGACAGCCGCATCCGTGCTGAGGAGGCGTGACTGTAGGATCCAACAGAGTTCGGAGAAGTACTCAGATGATCCGTAGAAAGGCATTCCAATGAATACTGCTTGGAAGCAGGCCGTTTCGGCGAAAGTTGATTCACTCCATGCCGTTTTGATGAAATCTTCTGTTTCGATGAACGTTATTTCGACGAAGTTCGATTAGGTGAAATCTGTTTAGTAGACGATCAAACCGGAGAATGCTGAAGAGTAGACTGCTGTTTCAATGAAGACAGGTTCGGTGAGAGCTGTTTCGTAGAGAGCCGGTCTAAGTTTGGGGAAGGTGGACAGTCCGGCTAAAGTAGAGGTGGAGGGGAGCGGACAGGCGAAGCATGATCCGGCAAACTGTGATTCGAACTGGCAGGCTTCGGGAAAGCAGAAGAAAGAGGTAGCTGGCGCAAGAAACAGCATTTCTTTTCGCCGAATGGGAAGGAGACGGCGATGTAACAGCTGACAGGCATTGAGGTGAGGTAGACTGGTTCCTCTCACTACTGGACAAACGACGAGAGCGAGAACGGCTTCTGCGCAGTCAGGCGTAGAGATCAGCTGATTCTTGTCAGAAGCAGATAAGCAAGGTTGCCGAGATAACTGGTCTGGAGAACGAGAGACAGAGAGCGTAGTTCGAGGGTCCTGCTGTGTAGAGGTATCCTGAGGGGTGGTAGTAGTCTCGACAACCACTACCCCGGGACGTGGTCGAAGACGAAGGACTCGGGCTGGAATGTTGAGAGCCCAACAAATTCCGAAGGTCTTCCGATAACTAAGAGTCTGCCGATGCTCTCATGAAATCCTCTTCATTCCAGGGAGGGGACTGTGACCGCCGAGCAGACAAAGTAGGACGCTTAAACTTTCCTTTCTTGGTGGGACTGGGTCCGTCAAGTGAAGCGGCATAACGAGCTCTGTCAGCAACACGATGAGCTCAAGCCCGAGTGTAGTCACCAAACGCCTCGAAGGTAAGATCCTTACATTTATCGCAACGAGAGTCCCAGTTACACTGTCGCACACAATACGCATTTGGATCACTCGCGGAGAACACTTTATTACACCGGGAGCATTTCTTCTTCTTTTTTGGCTGGTCAATTTCCCGATGTTGTAGACTAACTTGAAAACATTTAGCAAATCAAAACACGTTCACACTCAAGTGCGACAAGAAAGAGAATGATGATTCGGAGATAGTCACATGGGTAGGTAGTGGTGCATGCCGCATGCTTTCATGACAACTAGGAAGCTGTCTTATAATGAGGGTAGCATGGAGTGCTTGGGCGGATGGACAAGAGAGGCCAAGGGAAAAGAGTTTACATCGTTCCACTCAGTGTCGAATCAAGAGAGAGAAGCACATACCGTGAGATAGGATAAGATTACAAATATGTCTTTAAAGAGATAAATAACAGTAGCATGCAACATTAACATGTTTGAAATCTAATATTACATCCAGCATTGGAAATATTCTCCAGCACATGACTTGTCACAACCCTCAGGTACATGAATGTAAAAGGTGCCTTCTTGAGGGCAAGATCAACAGCACTGAAACCAAATATACTTTTTGACTGAAATACATCTCCTAATAATTTAAGTATTTTGAATATGATTAGTCCCATAATTAGGTATGGAAGGCTTTGCTTACCTTGATAAGAACAGGTATTGCTGCATTCTTTAACTTTTATAAACCTGTCTCTCGCGATAAACAGCTTAGAAACTGATTTCCTGCAGAGAACCATATTACAAATCATAACGATATCAGAATGTGTAAAATCTACTGTGTTATAAATGTCAAGGTGTATTTGATACTTAATTGTTCAGTTACTAAAGTAAATAACAACATCAAAACAACACATCTTTCAACAGGTCAGATCCAGAAAGTAAGGACTGATTGGGATCATCTGTGTTCTTCACCTACAGTATTCATATCAACTGTAACTTTAATCTTTATTTCAAATTTGATTATTAATGATAATCATCAGTAAATTCATATTATTCACAAATGTGTCAATAATAATCGAAGTGATATATCTATGTATTCTTTAAATACATCTCAACATAATAAAACTAAAATTTTCATATATACTACCCATCAAAAGTTTAGACTCACTAGTGTAAATGTAGCCACTTACTTGTCCACTGTTCTAAACTAGCTTTTTGCAAAATATTCCATACTGTTTAAAGGTACTGTTTAGTTATGAACTGGTGTATTGTAAAACATATTCGTAACATTGAAAAGATTATTGTCATGAGTTCAGTAAATGATTAAAATCTGTGAAAATTGGCGAATTCTTAACAAAACTTTACACCAAAACGAATCTATTCACATGCACGACATTTGCTCATGCCTTTCGCAATTTGAAGCATCATCCTTGTGCAATTCATCTGCATAAGGTTTTCAGTTGGTTCCCCCAAGTTGGTGGAGAAATTCATCTTCGATGTAACCACATACATATACATAACATATAGTGAGTGCTTTCAGTGAGTCTAAACTTTTGATGGGTAGTATATCAGCATTTGCAAGATTGCATTGATCACAGAACCTCTTTGACGCCAGGGTGATTTACTAACCTTGATATCCACAGCATAATAAAGGATCTTCTTCCCTACTTTCTCTGTAAAGCCTGCCAGCAAGTCTAGTAGCTGTGCCTTGCATCCCTGAACTGAACACAAAGGTAGAACTTAATGACAAACAAGTGTAGAAGTGAGCACAGCTCACATACCCCCGCTTCCCACTTTGGGACATGGAAATGACTGATATTGATATATATATTGTGACAAGGATCAGCAGCTCACAAGACTTTCTCCTTGACTCTACTAAACTTTATATAAGTTAGATAATAGTTTTGCCATGTACTGATTACAGTAATAATTTATGGAAACATTATTTTTTTGTGTTTTCCGCGGAAACCTTTGACATACAACTGAACTTGTCTGTCTCATGTTGCACATACAATGAAGTGGACGTAGATGAAGAATGTTACTGACTCATGTTGCACACAATGAAGTGGACGTGAGATGAAGAATGTCACTGACTCATGTTGCACACAATGAAGTGGACGTAGATGAAGAATGTCACTGACTCATGTTGCACACAATGAAGTGGACGTAGATGAAGAATGTTACTGACTCATGTTGCACACAATGAAGTGGACGATGAAGAAGGTCACTGACTCATGTTGCACACAATGAAGTGGACGTGAGATGAAGAATGTTACTGACTCATGTTGCACACAATGAAGCGGACGGTAGATGAAGAAGGTCACTGACTCATGTTGCACACAATGAAGTGGGTGATGATGAAAATGTTACTGACTCATGTTGCACACAATGAAGTGGACGATGAAGAATGTTACTGACTCATGTTGCACACAATGAAGTGGGTGTCGATGAAGAATGTTACTGACATGTTGCACACCAAATGAAGTGGACGATGAAGAATGTTACTGACCCATGTTGCACACAATGAAGTGGACGTAGATGAAGAATGTCACTGACTCATGCTGTACACAATGAAGTGGGATCGATGAAGAATGTCACTGACTCATGTTGCACACAATGAAGTGGACGTAGATGAAGAATGTTACTGACTCATGTTGCACACAATGAAGTGGACGTAGATGAAGAATGTTACTGACTCATGTTGCACACAATGAAGTGGACGTAGATGAAGAATGTTACTGACTCATGTTGCACACAATGAAGTGGACGTAGATGAAGAATGTTACTGACTCATGTTGCACACAATGAAGTGGATGTTGGTGACTTTAATGTTACTGACTCATGTGCACACAATAAAGTGGACACAGATGAAGAAGGTCACTGACTCATGTTGCAACACAATGAAGTGGACATAGATGAAGAATGTTACTGACTCATGTGCACACAATTAAGTGGACACAGATGAAGAAGGTCACTGACTCATGCTGCAACACAATGAAGTGGACACAGATGAAGAATGTTACTGACCTCATGTGCACACAATAAAGTGGACACAGATGAAGAAGGTCACTGACTCATGTTGCACACAAATGAAGTGGACATAGATGAAGAATGTTACTGACTCCGCACACAATAAAGTGGACGCTTTTGGTGAAGAATGTTACTCACCTCATGTTGCACACATTTAAAATTTAAAATAGCAAAAGGCACATCAATGGGTAATGATTAACATGTGTGTGAAGTTTGGTGAACCTAGCATGTAAACTTTAAGAGATATGCTCTAACAAAACCATCAAATACATTTATACTAAGTTAAGTGGTTTCCATGGAAACAGCTTAAAAAAATTCTGAAAAACTTTAAAATAAAGCAAAGGCACATCAATGGGTAATGATTTACATGTGTGTGAAGTTTGGTGAACCTAGCATGTAAACTTTAAGAGATATGTCTGACAAAACCATCAAATACATTTGGCACTAAGTCGCGGTTTCCATGAAAACAGCAAAACACAAAATTCGAAAAACTTTAAAATAGCAAAAGGCACATCAATGGGTTATGATTAAACATGTGTGAAGTTTGGTGAACCTAGCATGTAAACTTTAAGAGATATGTCTCGACAAACCTTAAAAACACATTTGGCACTAAGTCGGTGTTTCCATGAAAACAGCAAAACACAAAAGTCGGAAAAAAATTAAAATAGCAAAAGGCACATCAATGGGTAATGATTAACATGTGTGTGAAGTTTTGGTGAACCTAGCATGTAAACTTTAAGAGATATAATTCGACAAAAGCCATCAAATACATTTGGCACTAAGTCGAGTGTTTCCATGGAAACAGCAAAAACAAACTTTATGAAAAAACTTTTAAAATAGCAAAGGCACATCAATGGGTTATGATTAACATGTGTGTGAAGTTTGGTGAACCTAGCATGTAAACTTTAAGAGATATGTCTCGGACAAAACCATCAAAACACATTTGGCACTAAGTCGCGGTTTCCATGAAAACAGCAAAACACAAAAGTCGAAAAAAAATTAAAATAGCAAAAGGCACATCAATGGGTAATGATTAACATGTGTGTGAAGTTTGGTGAACCTAGCATGTAAACTTTAAGAGATATGCTTCGGACAAAGTATCGGGACGGAAGGACGCACGGACGGACGGACAGAATGAACGCTATATACCCCCGTTACTTCGTAGCGGGGGTATAATAACAAATATGCAGAGTGAACTCAGGTTAGGTGAGGATAGGTGAGGGTTAGGTGGGGGGGAGATGAGGTGAGTTGTGGTAGGGGGGAGGTGAGATGAAATGGGGTTTAATGTCAAATTCAAGATAAAGTCACTTATATAGTGGCATGATGTAAGTGTGTGTGTGTGTAGGTGCATGCTCGCATTAGCCCAGGCTACTGATGGTTTCATAATGCTATCTGAGAGATACCACGATGCAGCTGGATAACCCGCTAAGACACAGTAAACTGACTGTTGTTGACCAGGCCTTGTTTTACCCTGTAATTCCAAGAGCCAGACAGGGTAACAACAAATATCATCTTTCTAACACCTTCAAGTATGATGTCATTTTTTAAACACCATTGCTAAGTCAAAAACAAACTTCATGTTAAAAGATAAACCAAAATTTTAAGGAGGAGAGGTTAAACAGACATGCCTTATCCAAAAGTCGAATAAACCAAAGAATGCATCTTATGTTTTTGCACATTCAAAAGGGCAAAGATGCAAACTTAGAATCTGAACAGAGTTCAATTAGCAATTTCATTATTTACCAGTGTTGAAATCATCCATTCAAAGCTTTCTGGTTTTCAAGATGTCAAAATGTAAATATTCAGATCAGCAAAACAGAAATTACAAACGAGGTTATTTACATAGGTCTATGTTGTGTTCTGATTCAACCAATGAGTGCCTCATACAGGTGTGTTATAAGAATTGTTCAAAGTAGTCAAATATACAGCCTACCTCTTCAGCAGTGATGACTTTCTGCAAAAACTTGACCACTCCAATTTCCTTGTCAAACAGCACAGAGCAGCAATAGTCTGAGGAGTGAAGATAAATGTATTAATAAACTTAAAGTTAAACTGTGAACTGACATTTTGAAAAGAATTTTTTTAACAGTTTATGATTTCACGACTCCGAAAATGGCACATCATCTGGACACAACCTGAAGTGCACCCCAACGAGACGAAAAAAGCACCTGATATTCCTGTGACTAGATTGATTCAAGGCTGTAAATGAACAATCAAAGCGACACACAATCATTTTAAGAAATAGAGATATTGCACATGAATGAAACGGCAAATCCCCAGTTGATGGTTACAGATGTTATTACCAAAATGACAACACAATCACGATTAAAGAGAACCTGTTGACGATCGAAAACAGGACAGTCTACACCGGCGACACTGAGAACCGTTCAAACATTGCTTGCATTTCCAACTGACACACATCTTACCGACATCCTTTTCAGATAATTCGTTTAAGCATATCTGTACGATGTCGCCAACAACAGTGTCAATTTGTTCTTTGGCACGGCCACCCGCGTCTTGATGAAGATTGTGAAGCGATCGCAAACTGTCTTCCAACAAATTCGCCGCCATTTTCCTAGTAACATGTCATGTGACCATTCAAAGGGACATAAGCAAAGTTGCGTTTTTCAATCGAAAAACAAATATAGCTTGGAGAAATATCCAACATAATATCTGTGTGTGATTTTTGTGTGTTTAATCGATTTTCAAACTGTAGTATACCAGTTTCAAATAACAGCTAGTTCTTTAATACACGATAAACACAAGATCAGAGCAGAGACTATATAATAGATTATTATATGGTCTCTGATCAGAGGGATGTCGGGTAGTAACAGAGGTTTCCTGGACTACAGAACAACAATACATTGAGTTACAATTAAAACATTTGTTGGTTTCAGCTGAATGTAACTGGTAGAAATGTGGACACGAGACCAGAGTGTATGAAAGAAAACTAATCTCTCAGCTGCGTGCCATCGGGCAAACTCCAGATGCGAAATCGGCATACCCTGAAGCGCTCGTACAATCTACAGTAGCGTCACATTTTTTAACTTGGCGTTAAAATGTATGACAAGTGTCAAGGGTCAATTTTTCTATTTTAAAAACCGATTATATATGTTCAGATAGCAGCCAACCGACGTATAGCAAACCAACGCCCAGCACTTTGCAGTCAATACGCTTGGAGGTAGTGTCGCGGTTTGGGGTGGAAAAAAGGACCCAAAATATGTTAGCAATAATGTTTACAATGCAGGACTGAGTGTTATGGGTATACAGGCACTTCTACACGAATAAACAGGCTGTGGGAAGAAAGCCCGTGGTCATGTGGTTGCAAGACGTATCCACTTAGATGCTGATATCCTATACAGATCCAATATCCGGATTGTAGACCCCTGAAACTAACGCAAATACAGATTAAAATGTACGAATGACCGGATTTGCGAATGTGTCCAGATACGAATGAACTTCCCATATTAAGCTTCACCTTTGAAACATACGACCATCGGTACCATTGTCATGCCCCCTATGGATTTTCAGAAATTTCCATGTATGAATTTCGATGTTGATAGCTTTTTGGTTGTACTTGGGTAAATTAAAGCTAAAAAAGCGACACTATACGATTGAGAGTACATTTGCCGATTATTTCCTAAATATTGTATAGGTTTGAAGTATTTCCTAGGGCGAAAAATCAACTGTAATTTGGGTCAGTTTCAGATGTTGGTATGTATTACAAAGCTATGTATAAATCAGCAGTTTAAAGGCATGCATCTGAATAGCTGTTATGCACAACCATATATTGTCTGTACTAAAGCATATACTTGTGAAGACCTGGGTTAGAATTGGTCTTCAGCAACCCATGCATGTCGTCAGATACGACGAACGGGATCGGGTGGTCAGGCCCGCTGGCTTGGTTGACACATGTCATCGGTTCCCAAATGCTTACCTGATGTATTCATGGCATTATGTATCACTGATGTACGAAGCTCATGATGTCAATTACTGCACTATGTTTACACATCTTTGTGCTTTAACACATTCCATTCGCCACTTCAGCGGTAGTCACATATATATCGATTTATACAACTATAAATAGCTATTATTTTCAAAGCAATGTGCATGCAAAACAAAAGGACGTAGTGTGTGCCATGCAGCTGGTTCTAACGCCATTGTGAACGGTATTTCAGACACTAACGTTACTCAGTTGTCTTCAAAATGAGGAATACCCAGGAACACGGAGCGAGTGAGTATCGTTTTACGCCACTTTTAACAATAGGCCGCAATATCACGACAGGGGACACGAGATATGGGCTTCATACACTGTACTCATATTTTGGGAATCGAACCCGTGTCTTCAGCGTGCCGTGCGGACGCTTTAACCATTCACCTACCCCCACCGCCCCACGAGCACGGATATGGTACTGACGATGAAAATGGCATAACCAGTGAACATATGAGGTTCAGCGCATCATCTTCAGTTGAGGTTTCATGCACATTGAATAGACTAATGCTTATATATAATTTTGATAACAACAAACAAACCCATTTAAATAGAAAAGGAGCCCCAGGGAGAACAGAGATTTAGAACCCGAGGAAATCTAGACTTGCTTCAATTAGGGCTTTATAATTAGCATTGCAGAAGTTCTAGCCAGTAGGGAAAATAATGTGGTTCAGGGACTGTGAGACAGACTAGTATATTGAAGTACGTATAATTCTGTTTGCTGTTCCAGTATACGTGATATGTACTCCCGCGAAATAACCCTAAAACAGTTCTGCGCAGTGCCACGTCAAAACGTGAAGTAATGTTTGTATTGATGACACGTGGAAAGAAAAACAATTTAACTGAAAAATAATCATATGAAGAATTAGTAAACTCAAGAATTTGAGATCAAATAACGAATCAGACTGGCCCAAACACACATCGGACCCGTGAAGATGCCGGTTAGAATTGGTCTTCAGTAACCCATGCTTGTTGTACAAGAATGACTAACTGGATCGGGTGGCCAGGCTCGCTGACTGGGTTGACACATGTCATCGTATCCCAATTGCGTATAGATCGATGTTGATCACTGGATTGTCTGGTCCAGACTTGATTATTTACATACCACAATCACATAGCTAGGGAATACTGCTGAGTGCGGGGTTTACACATGTCATCATCATCCCAAAAACAAACAACCAAATCATTGTTTTAAGGGGTTTTGATTTACATATGTATATAGGGTATATAAAAATATAATATAAAATATAATATGATATAAAATATATATCGTATTGTAATACATGTACATGAGAAGGCTGTTAGGAGGATTTTAATGAACATAATATACTCATACCAATAATGGTTGTCACCCCTACCCCAACCCCCACACACACACACACCTCACCCCCCCCCTCTCCATTTAAAAAAATTGAAGGGGATGACAACCATTATTGGCATGAGTATATATGCCAGAAGAACAACTCCATTACACATTCCGGTGGTATATGTATAAGGGAGACCATTTACGTGTGGCAGCTGCATGGCGAAGGCACAACAATTCTGAACACATTCGTAAATAGTAAAATAACATCAAAGTAATGAGATACTTATATTATACAAATGCATTAATCAATCTGCATCCATCTAGAATAAACATGCTTAACATGAAGTATTTATTCCGCTCATTTCAGGTATAATATGTAACAGACAACAAGTTACATTATATAGTTATAAGTTACATTTACAGTCTCTTTAAAAGCTTGGGATGAACACTGCTGTGCAGAAATAAATGCAGCATTGACAGTTTTGGAATATGTCGAGTTTCGCCCATATGAGGTGTCGTCAAAAGTACAATCATGATTGAAAATATTCACTATTTAACATTAATTTTTCAGAACAATCAGTTCCAATTTGTGAGAAATAAATGTGACATGCTAATGCATAATGCATAATTTGTATTGTTTAAAACGTATCAGAATATTGTATATAACATCAGAATATTGTATAATCTTCATCCAAAATGTAATATGCCTATCACAAGCCATGAAACGTGTACAATACAGTATGACAACAGGGTATTATAGAATGACAATAATTACACGAAAGATAAATGACTGTCCAGGAATCGGATATGTGACACGACACGAGAAATATACTGTCGTTGCACAAACGCATACATAATTGTGCAGATGTTTCAGATGGTTTCCCGGTGATGCTTTCTGGGATATGTCTAGTGTTTTCCCTTTCCCTTAGTGTCATGCCTTCCTGAGAGGGTACGTAAGTCCGAAAACTTTCCAAGTTAAATTTAAGCTTACCGGATTTTTAAACGTAGTATTTTTGTTCTTTTAAAATTCGGCTAAACTTTTCCTACAATCGCCTGCGGCTGAAGGGATGGCGTAAATCCAACTAGGGTCCATGCAGGTAGCAAAGGCACTGTAAGTCCCCATTATCCCAGGTATGGTGATCTACCTTCAGTTGTTGGCGATCTGTAGCCTGTTTTATATTGTATCGTCCTCTATGGTTAAAGTATTTTAGATTTAATTACTAGTTTTAAATATATCGATCTGTGATAGTCTAGATGGTATTAGTGTCCTTTGTTGGAAGTTATTTTAAAATGATTACCTTTTTTTCATCGCTATATGGCTGTAATATTGCCGATGCGATGTAAAATTTTAACTCACTCACTCACACAGTGTCATGCTCTTTTGTTGCTTGTAATAAATCTACCGATTAGTGCCAATGTCAGGTTGCTTTTTTATGAGCATTATTTTACGTGACAGTTGCATTGTTTCTTCTTACATACAGCAAATTTCCAGTAGACCTTGCTTCTCCTTTCTTTGAGTTTATTGAAGTCTTATCCTTCATTTAGTGACGTCGCTTTGTCGCTTCAAATTTCAAATGGGTGCAATGTGGGAAACCCATTTCTGGTGACCCCTGCGTTGATATCGCTGGAATATTGCTAAAAGCTGGGTAAAACCATACTGGCACTCGCATTCGCTTCAAAATTGTCGATAGAGTCTACCCGTGAAGTTCAGGGTTAGAATATTGATCTTCAGTAACCCATGCTTGTCGTAAGAGGCGACTAACGGGACACATGTCACCGGTTCCCAATTGCGTAGATCGATGCTCATGCTGTTGAACACTGGATTGTCTGGTCCAGACTCGATTATTTACAGACCGCGGCCATATAGCTGGAATATTGCTGAGTGTGGCGTAAAACTAAACTCACTCACTCAAAATTGTCGGTGCGACGTATAATATTAACTCACTCATACAGTGAAGGCTAAATTGTAGTGACACAAGAGCGTCAATAACGTTTAGTTTTCAACTTGGAGTGCGAAATAGCTGTGGTGTAAGCTTCAACGACCTACTTTAGATGGACAACATTACCCAGTGTCAACAGACAAACGAGGTCAGTTTTGCGTTGCTCAATGGAAACGGGGCTCTTTTAACCCATATCGCATAAGCTGACAACACTCGTGAGACAGGCGAGACGAGACGCTCAAAAGTAGAACACATTTCGGTTGCGGAATTCATCCTGTCTTACACGGCCAAGTAATGTTACATGTGATGTGTGTCGTATATTTATTTGTTCCTATTTTGTTCACATTCAGTCGAACAATACTTGGATGAAATGCCAACAGAAACTGTTTCCGTTTGCGCAGCAGGGCCGCTGTGCTCCCGTTTCGGTTCCAGCATAGGAGGTCAAACATTGGACCCGGTAGGAAAGAGACGATACTGTTACTTGGATGCTTAACTGTGGATTAATTAAGCAGTTATCCTTCGTGTTGTTGCTGTTCTAGTGACACAGATTTACTTAGGCAGAGGATGAGTAGATGTCAGATCCTGACGGGTTCGTTACGACCCGGAGAGCTGTCACATGGACTCATGAGCTGTGTAGAGCTGAACAGTGAATCGAACTCATTCAACTTTACCCCTTCGTGAATTCAATTCGCTATATCGATTATTTGGATCGAACATTCATGATTATATTCATGTGTTATTAATGAAAATAAGACAGATCCATGCAAATTGCATGACTTATGTTCAATTCAAGTCAGGCACATCAGTGAGTGAGTTTAGTTTTACGCCGAACTTGGCAATATTCCAGGTACAGCATATGGCGGCGCTTCACGCATATGAATTATTGAATATATATAATTTGTATATTTGATTCGGCAGTAATGTGATCACTGGTCTTAGAAGTAGATGGCAAAACATAGGCAAATAATACTGTGTTAATAACTTAACGTTTCACTGAATGTAATGAATAATATATCAAATGATGGCTTGATGTATTTGTGACTAAATATTCATAGCCCTATATTCGTGACATGTATTCTCTTCGCCTCATAGTGGATTCAGTGCAGCGCTAGCCTCTACACATGATCAGCTGATTATGGTGCCATCTGTCATGATTCCACCATGTGTTCACCACCATTATACAACATGGTGAAGTTTCTGACACACTGACATACCGTATTTCCTCTAATAAGCACCCCTGGCTACATTTTTCAACAGACCTCAAGACCAGGCGCTTATTAGAGGCCCGGCGCTTATTAAAATACCCTGTATTTTTAAAAGCGGGGATGAGTACATGAATTTATGATTTAAGGAACCATTCCTTAATATATTCATTTTTAGACCAAGGGAGAATACATTTGCGAAAAAATGCAAACGTCTATACCCGGTAATGCAAACGTCTATACCCGGCGCTAATAGAGGCCCACCGCTTATTTCTTAAAGCACTGCTTTATCCCTGGCGGTTATTAGAGGCCCGGCGCTTAATAGAGGAAATACGGTACTTCAGTTACTGACTTCAGTGTATGTTATTGTTTCAAATTAGCAGATAATCCAGTGTCTATGGAAGTTGTTGTTCTACCCTACTAAATCAAAATGATAATGTGTAGTAGTAGTAGTGGCAACAACCTCAGCAACAATATTATAATAATGGCAGAAAACAGTGAGTTAGGGCTCCAAGTGATACTTCTTTGTACTGGACAGGGTTTTACATGACTCATAATTCTTGTGTATTTGATTCAACAATATTGTAAAATTCCCCAAAATATTTTCATACGAGTCATAGCTGGGGCATTTTGTTTCAAATAAGTGTACATTGAATCCAATAACTCCACTAAATGCTATGAGCAGTTTCAGTTGTTTGACTGTAAACAACACAACATTATTGGTATAATGGCAGTGAATAATGCTTCTTTCAATATATTTACTCAGCATCTTGCATGCTGTATAACAAGACCTGAAAATTAATTATGGCTGCCAATGAAGTTACTTTTCTTTGAGAAATCAGTGCATGGAGTTATCCCTGGTTCAGATATAGATGGGCGCGGTGGGGTAGCCTAGTGGTTAAAGCGTTCGCTCGTCATGCCGAAGACCTGGGTTCGATTCCCCACATGGGTACAATGTGTGAAGCCCATTCCTGGTGTCCCCTGCCGTGATATTGCTGGAATATTGCTAAAAGCGGTGTAAAACGTAACTCACTCACTCACTCAGATATAGATGTGATGAGTGAGTATGGTTTTACGCCGCTTTTTTAGCAATATTCCGGCAATATCACGGCTGGGGACACCAGAAATGGGCTTCATACGTTGTACCTATGTAGGGAATCGAACCTGGGTCTTGGGCGTGACTAGCGAACGCTTTAACCAGTAGGCTACCCCACCGCCCCATAGATGTGATGATGATGATAGGGTTGTTAGCCATTCCGGCTTGTTGCCCTTATAATAACACCCCAAAAATGAGAAATGTTTAAATTATTGAATTATTTATTTGTCCAAGCATTGATTTTTCCTGGAAACAAATGATATAAGAGCATTATAATAATTTTATTAGTTTTCAACTTATACAAAAATATCTTTTGACATTTTTTGTGTCAAAGTCTTTGAACAGATGTGATACTGTGCCAAGCTATATATATATTATCACTAAACCTCTGTCATGTTTGAGAGATGAAAAGTAAATTAAATCCTTCTCTTATTGTATTAAGGAACACAATCACTTTCATAGTCGATTGTTCTTTTGTATATGGAACTAAGAACTCCAATGTGATTATGTTAAAATTATAATACTCCAGACATGGCAAGTCGACTAGTGCGACCAGCCCTTCAGCAATCGAGGCTTCAAGTGCGTTCTTACAATGGCTCCACTTCCTCCAAGCCAGCTAAAGATGGCTGCCACATTGTTGACATGCGTAGTGACACCGTTACAAAACCAACAGCAGCCATGCGACAAGCCATGGCCTCTGCCGAAGTTGGTGATGATGTCATGGGCGAAGACCCTACAGTAAATGGTAGGTTGAGGATGGAGTGATTGAGATTTAAGTCACATCATCAGAATCTGCTTCCCATGAAGCTCCAGGTTAGAATTGGTCTTAAGCAACCCATACTTGTCGTAAGAGACGACTAACAGGATCAGGTGGTCATTCTCGTTAACATGGTTGACACGTCATCGTATCCCAATTTGCGTCGATCGATGCTTATGATGTCAATCACTGGACTGTCTGGTCCAGACTTGATTATTTACAATTCGCCATATAGCTGCAGGGGTGGAAATAACCCATTGCCCGATGCCTGAGTCAAGTGTTTTTTTCTGTCGGGCAAGCAAATTTGTATATCACACTGTACCGGTGTCCAGTTGATATTCCAATGTTAATTATGTTGTTTATTTAAAAAATCAACAAGAAAACGGCCGGTATAGTGGAAAAATTATCAGGGCAAGTGATTTTACATGTGCCACTGTACCGGAGTAAACTAGCAATTTTCAAGTTATTTCCACCCCTGTAGCTGGAAAATTGCTCTAACAACAACCAAACATCAGAATCTGCTGAATGTGTCCTGCTGGTACATTATTACAATTCTTATCAATACTTTAAGAGTGTTTAAACTAAATATTTACAAATTTCACCTTAACAATTCTGACCTTCTGAAATGATGTTCATAGAATACTGTGAAAGTGTCTCTTAACTGATCTAATGGAGAGAGACTGTCTGGAAAGAGCAAGGTGCAAGAACATTGAATGTGATGTCAAAACCTATTTCACCTCATCAGTTCTGACCCTCTGAAATGATGTTCACGGAATACTGTGAAAGTGTCTCTAAACTGATCTAATGGAGAGAGACTGTCTGGAAAGAGCAAGGTGCAAGAACATTGAATGTGATGTCAAAACCTATTTCACCTCATCAATTCTGACCCTCTGAAATGATGTTGTTCACAAAACTGTTTGATATTCTGTTGCCAGAACTTCAAAGACGATGTTCAGCCTTGTTTGGAACGGAAGATTCTCTCCTTGTACCATCGGGTACTATGGGCAATCTAATTTCAGGTAATTTTTAGGTGGCCCTAATATTAATATGGTTTTCACAGTACAGTAATAATATATTCAAATTCTGTAAATTGAAACTTATCCACATTAGTTGGCTTCACGGTAAATAGTCTGGGCCCCGTTTCACAAAGCTCGTGGCTTCGACTATCGTGAAGTCAATGTTACAGTATAGGAATGCGATTGATCTGAGAAAAGTTACGAGATCTTAGGCTTACAAGACTTGAAGCGGGGCCCTGGACAAGTAGTATCTGATTTATTCATTTACAAGTGTTTACTGGAATACAAGGTCAAAGAATATTGTGAGTTGTTGTCTTTTGAGAATATCAAAAGACATTTTCTCTTTTTTTGATCCGGGTTAGAATTGGTCTTCAGTAACCCATGCTTGTCGTAAGAGATGATTAACGGAATTGTGGTCAGGCTCGCTGACTTGGTTGACATATGTCATCGCATCCCAATTGTGAGATCAATGCTCATGCTGTTGATCACTGGACTGTCTTGTCCAGATTTGATTATTTTCAGACTGCTGCTATAGCTGGAATATTTCTGACTGGCGTAAAACAAAACTCACTCAAACTTTTTGTTCCTCCTTGCAGTGATCAGCCATTGTCAGGGGAGATTCCAGGAAGCCATATTGGGTGATGTGTCACACATGTTTCTGTATGAAGTGGGCAGTATAGGACAGGTTCGTGTAATACATACTGACAGCTTGCACATTCAAAGATATCTGTGTAATTGTGATGTTATGGTAATCTGGAATGTTATACAGTCCTTGAAAAGGAAGACCATCCTAGGTGATTTTAATATACCGTAAACTACGTTAATAATAACTGATGGATAATATGAACTGCCATCTTGGTCCTGGACACGTTGCTATATAATATACTACATCTGAATTTGATGTCAAATGTTACAAAAATGTCATTTTTGGACTCTTCAAAACAGCAGTGACCAGATGTGTTATTGAATCATAACACCAAAGGTTAACATCACGTGTTTGGTTTCCATCCTTGTGAAATTCACGATGTGAGGAAATCTAGACTTGCTTTAGCATTGCAGGGAGGGCTAGGCAGTAGGGAAAATAATGTGTTTCAAGGACAGTGAGACACACTATCAGTTTGACTACCGACTGCTCTAGCCAGTGTGTACAGTATGTCCTAGAGCATCTCTCCGAGACATCATTACCAAAAGCTTGGTGTGTCATGTGATGAACATGGTCAGACTGACTATGGTTTACATCAGCTACCAAGGGTCCCCTTCCACACAGTGAAAATATTGTTACAGTTGTTGTAAGTGGCTCTTACAGAATGTGAGTTATGATGGCCTTAGTGCTTATATCGCATTGTGGAGCAGGTCCTGAACCGTTTCATTTGCCTTCATGTGACAGGCTGTCAGAGGTGTTTGTTTTGGAACAACATCATGAACTTCAGCATCAGTGATGTCAGAGATACAGTGTTGCAGTGAGGGAACATTAATGCAGTGTTGTTGAGCTGATTGGAGAGTCACGGACATTATCATAATTTTGCCACCCACTGAACGTGGAAGATCAACAGATTTGGGGTGGCTATGTGATGGCAGAACCTCCTATGTTGGTTGAACAAATCTGATGAAAGTGCACACAAGTTTTTGACTTGGGTACTTTCTGTGTTATGTCTTTATACTGGATGGGTGTAAATTATGTGTGGTGTCCAAACTGACGAGGTGCTCACATCTGCTGATTTCAGTTTTGGGATTCCAAAGTGTGTTCATAATGATGATTATGTATTCATGATGATAATTATGGTGAGTGAATGATGACAGATGTGTTTACAATGTGCAGATGTCTGTAGGATTGTACTTATTGATAAGAATACAGAACTACTTCTTGCAATATATATGTTATTTGCAGTGTTTGACACCGACTTTTAAAAATGGGAGTCATGGTGACTCACAATATAAATTTTTTGGGGAGTCATTTTAAATATTTGGGAGTCATGAAAATTTTAATATTTCTTTATGTTAATCATTCTCAGTATGTAACTGTGTATGTCACACCACCAAATGAACCTACAGCATTGTTCAATTCAAACAGCCAGGATTACTGTCTCCTCTGAGTTCTCTGGATTAATCTGACAGCTCTGTAAAAGTCAAAACTATCATCGAACAATATCATTTTTTGCTTATCAAATCAATTTTATTGATCTGAATTGTGAGGGCCACCCATAAAACTTGTATCAAGCTTGACTCGTATGATAATATTTTGAGAGTCGTTTACAAAATTGTTGTGTCAAATACGCAGGAATCACGCGTCATGTAAAACCCTGTATTTGTAATCAGTTTGCAGGGGTACAGTGTTCCCTGGCACCCAACCAGCCGGATGGTACGATCCTTGTAGAGGATATCCGCAAGCGTGTCCGGCCCACGGACGATGATCATCAGCCATGGACCAAGCTTATTTGTCTGGAAAATACCCACAACAAGTGTGGGGGCAAAGTATTGCCACTGAATTATATGGCAGAGGTAAGAAAATACAACAAATATGGGGCAAAGTAGCACCTCTGAATTACCGCTGAATTACCGGTAAGAACATACAACAGTTGGGTGGGGGGTGTCAAAGTATTACCACTGAATTACCTGGCAGATGTAAAAAATACAACCGGTATGGGGACCAAAGTATTACCATTGAATTACCCATTAGAGTTGAGGAAATACAACAGGTATGGGGGGCAAAGTATTACCTACTGAATTACCTGGCAGAGATCAGATAATACAACAGGTGTGGGGGCAAAGTATTACCACTGAATTACCTGGCAGAGATCAGATAATACAACCGGTATGGGGACCAAAGTATTACCATTGAATTACCCATTAGAGTTGAGGAAATACAACAGGTATGGGGGCAAAGTATTACCTCTGAATTACCTGGCAGAGATCAGATAATACAACAGGTGTGGGGGCAAAGTATTACCACTGAATTACCTGGCAGAGATCAGATAATACAACCGGTATGGGGGCAAAGTATTACCACTGAATTACCTGGCAGAGATCAGATAATACAACAGGTATGGGGGCAAAGTATTACCACTGAATTACCTGGCAGAGATCAGATAATACAACCGGTATGGGGACCAAAGTATTACCATTGAATTACCTGGCAGAGATCAGATAATACAACAGGTGTGGGGCAAAGTATTACCACTGAATTACCTGGCAGAGATCAGATAATACAACCGGTATGGGGACCAAAGTATTACCACTGAATTACCTGGCAGAGATCAGATAATACAACAGGTGTGGGGGCAAAGTATTACCACTGAATTACCTGGCAGAGATCAGATAATACAACCGGTATGGGGACCAAAGTATTACCATTGAATTACCCATTAGAGTTGAGGAAATACAACAGGTATGGGGGCAAAGTATTACCACTGAATTACCTGGCAGAGATCAGATAATACAACAGGTGTGGGGGGCAAAGCATTACCACTGAATTACGTGGGAGGGGTAAGATGATTCAACGAGTGTGAGAGCAAAGTGTTATCCCTGAATCACCAAACAAGGGTAAGAAAATACAAGTGTGGGGAACAAAGTGTTATTGACTCGATCACTGATTAATGGAGGGTGCGGTCAATGTAAACTTTGGTTGGAACTCCATGGTACTGAAGTGTCTCCTTATTGCAGGTGAAGAAGCTAGCGATGGAGTTTAACGTGAAGGTACACCTTGACGGAGCCAGGCTGTTCAATGCAGCCTCAGCGCTGGAGGTTCCCGTCTCTAACATTGTACAACATGTGGACTCAGTCAGTGTTTGTTTCTCAAAGGTAAGTAACAGATTGTTCTATCAAGCACCTGTTTACTGTTCCACTAGCAGAGATTCTAAATCTCATTTAAATCATATCGAAGTGCTTGCTGCTGTATACATAAATCTTGAAAAGAACTCATTACATGTCATGTAGGAGCGACCTCTCTTCTAAGCAGCCAGACAATTTCTTATGAGATGGCAAAAGTGAAGATCCCAATGTGCTTTTTCATCCTGCATGCTTGGAACAGTTGACATGGGTAATTTTGTATGACAGTTATGGTCTGAATTTCTGAATCAACCATGATGATGATCTGTCTCTTGATTTAATGGGATTAGCATCTGACATCCATTTGACCTTCATGGTAAGTACTGCCATACAATCTTGGCCATCTGTTAGATATTTCTTTGATCAGTTTTCAGATTTGTGATTGGCAGGAGTTTATTTGAGCCTTATTTAAAAGTAGCTTCCAAAAAAAGCTTAACTTTTCCTTATCCTGACTCATGATCTTTTGCTTATCTCCCTTTCCCCTTGCGAATGGTAGTGGAACACTTGAATCCCTTGTAGTTCCCGAAGTGGATGTAAAAATACACTCACCCACGAGTTACCTCCCTTTTCCTGTGCAAACAGTCATGTCTTACTTGTCACTCTCTTCCTTTTCGCCTAAGCGGATGGTTCGGCGAGCACTGGAGTCCCGTATACGGCAGATATCCTTTATATTTAGATCCTATTTATCAAAATTACGCTGTGTATGGTATTTGGCTATAACTATCATGTATTAGTTGTATAAATTTTGAAGAAATTTTTGTAATTTGTTACACTTTTTCATCGTAATGTAACTTGTTTACATTTCATGAAATCTTGCATTGCTTGCAGGCACCGGCTATCAGTGGCTGATCCTCACCCCCCAATGCCCATCGTGCATTAAACCATGTTCTTCCACCTCACGTTGTATTTAATCAATATTTGTCTTATATCTATAGACGTGCCATGGATCGGGTGAGGAAGTCATCACAAGTCACGGTTGATAAACCTGGAGATCAAGCCGGTAACCGTAGGTTGTTTGCTACTGCAGAAATACATAATTCTGGTGCTATGTTGAGTACGTTGCAGGGGCAGTCATCCGTTACGGGGTTGTAAAAGAGGTCTGCAACGACAGAGTTGACGCCCTCTCAGAACAAGAAAAAGACTACTGTTTCATCCACAATGCAGAAAAGGGCATCCATAACTAGGTCTACATCGAAATCAACACGACCTAGCAAGTCAACTCATCAGAGGTTGTTTAATGAGGAGATTATCCTACTGCTCGAGGCAGACGTGTTTGATGAACCACCGTTACTTCTGCCTGAAGTACCTACTAGATCGTTGATCCACGACTACTAGATTGTCTCCTGCAACTACAACAGCGGCCTAGCTGTTTGACGACCAACCACCAACTTCTCAACGCAGTGAAGTTGAAGCACACAACACATCAGCGTTAGCGAGCAGCTTCATCAACGCCAAATCAGTTCCAGTCAACACAGAACCCGACTTTATGAGGCAATTTACTACTCAAATGATGGCCATGATGGAACGACGTTTTGATGAGGAAGCGAAGGCACGACAGGAATGCTCATCAACTGACAATGTTCGCAAACCCTCAGACCCTCGCTTGAACCCAATACGCCTCACAGATCTACATCTGCAGACAATGTTAGCGAGCGTGAGCGTTGAGAAGGTCATCACAATCATCATAGAACAAGATGGAAGGTCGCGAAAGGCTACTAACTCGAGAGAACTTCGTCTGTAGACCCTCAACGTTCGAGAACACCTAGGAATCCATCTCCAAGAGCCAGCGTTCCAGATCTACATCCCACAGCTCTCACCGCGAAGAGAAGGTTAGCGAAGGCAAGGAGTTCGCAAAGGGCGTTCGCGAGAGACTAGTTAGCGAAGGGATTGATCAAGAGACAGAGGTTTGCGAAGGGAGGAATCCGCGAGACAGGCGTTAAGTGAAAGGATGACTCCACGACATTTCGCGAAAGGAAGGTTAGCACCGCGGAGGATTAGCGAAGGCATAGTTCTATGGAACAAGAACTATCTGATGAACATACCGACTTCGTCTTCTCAGATCACTGGAAGTTACAGCTTGGATAGCTAATGGATTGAACTTAGAGTCTCCCTCAAGGAATTGGATGAAGTTTACACATGTGCAAGGGCGACTTCGACTCAGTCACCATTCCGCCTATTGAGCCTATATCCAAGGTGCCTTCGGAGCTACGCACATCTTTTGACAAAGCTACTAGATTTCAGAATCAACATCTGCCAGCATTTAATGCGAGGAAATTCCCCTTACATCACATGGACCCCTTCATGAGAGCGCCGGACTTAGATGAAAATATAAAACTGGTCACGACTCTCGGAACAAGGTCTACAAGGTGGAGCATAAAAAGTTGGCTCAACTTGATACAGCAGCGAGGAGGTCCTTCGCCGGATTAAGCGAGGTCCAGAGCAATCAATGAGGCATTGATTAACAAGTTCCAGATCCCCAGTTAAGGAAGAAGATAGAATGATATTATCTGCTCTGCTCACACAGAAAAGGACCAATACTTCATATTGGATCATTTGGCCTCAAAGTCGGTGTGGTCTCACCTTATTACGAAGACAGGGTCTACTGGCATCGTGTTCCTGGAGTGACAGATTTACCCAACGCTACTCAGAGGCGCTGAAAGTGGGGTTGAACGACTGGATGCTTCCACCCCAGCCGTTCCTGTACAACCATTGACAGTGGGTGGGCGTCTACAAGGTACTGGGAAAATTGGGGAATACTGGAGGACTACTACGTCTCACAAGTACTCGCGAGAAGGGTACAGAGTGCAGCTCAAGGCCACACCACCGTTAACCCTCGGACCGATGGTCTTCAACTATGCAGGCGAGCAAGCAGACAAGCTACAAGAAGCCATCAACTCACTTCTAACCAAGAATGCGGTAGAAAAAAATAGATCAACATCATCTCACGCCAGGCTTCTACTCCTAATTTTCCTAGTACCCAAGAAGAATTCCAAAGAAATTCAGGTTGATTTACAACATCGCGGAAATTCAACCAAGACGATCTACTCAAACCGGAAGGTTCAGAATGATCCACCTACCTCAACTCAGACTACTAATTCGTCCAGCAGACTTTATGGCCAGCATAGACCTACAGGATGCATATCTACACATCCCATACATCCAGAATCAAGGAAATATCTATGATTCCTATTCAGAGAGTCAGCACTTCCAATGGAGCGTCCTACCGTTTGGAATATATGTCGGCTCTGTGATTATTCACACGAATAACCAAGCCCATAGTCACCTACCTACATCGCCGAGGGGGTCACGCGGTGCCTTTTACCTGGGCGGCGGCATACAGGTTCATCAAAGTGCCAATCAACTCAGACAGCAGCTGAACTTCACAATCAAGTTGCTCACGCGACTAGGATGGCTAGTGAACCTGATGAAGTCGGAGTTGGAACCAAAACAAGATCTACAATTCCTGGGGATAAGATTCATCACAACAGAGAATTGAATTGTGACCCCAGAAGATCGTTGGGTCAAGATACAAGCCATGATTCCTCAAACAGTCATCTCTCCGTTAACACTACAAACATGGCAATGTCTACTCGGTCTACTAACCTCAGCACAAGACTTGACTCGCACAGGAAAGTTACAACTACGGCCATTGCAACGATTGCTGGCAAAACATCTGGACAGCAGCAACCCTATCTCGGTACCAGAATATCTCAAAGTGTACCTACTTTGGTGGACTCACAGGTCGAATGTCTGCGGAGGGACCTATTTACGAGAGCCGGTCTTTGACACTCTACGCAGATGCATCGCTACAGGGATGGGGTGCACATTTCAACAACCAAGTTGCATCAGGGAAGTGGTCAAATGCAGAACAGCATCTTAACATCAGTCTGCTGGAAATGAAAGCTGTGATCAGCGCCCGTACAACCATGGTTGAGTTAAGCTGAGCAACAGAATGCTGATGATCCACACGGACAACTCTACAGTGGCATTCTCCATAAATTGGCAAGGATCAACAAGATCGCCAAGCTATTGCAGCTCACATTCCAGTTGTTCAACATCACAGAGAAGGCAAACATCTGGATAAAGTGTCACATACCGGAGCCAAGAGCGTACTAGCAGGCGCTCTTTCCTGACCACTTCATCCGTCACCCACAGAGCGGATGCTCCATCAAGCGTTCTGGCTCATTATAAGGGAAATAGGATCCCCATGCATAGACCTGTTTGCCACGAGGTTCAACAAACAACTACAGACGTTTGTTTCACCAGTACCAGACCCCCAAGCCTGGGCAACAGATGCACTGAGCATATCATGGGAAGGACTAAACGCTTACGCGTTTCCACTCCGATCTTACTACCGTAAGTACTGTTGAAGATCAAACAGACACAAAGCGCTACAACTGACTTTGAGTGGCCTATTGGCCAGCAAGAGTCTGGTTCCTAGACCCTAATAGAAGATTGAAAGGATGACTCATGAAGTCCAACCCTCAAACTACCAGAATGGCCAAACCTACTCAGACATCGCAGACACCAAGCAAGTTCACAGGAACCCAACACTGTTCCAGCTACACGTGTGGACCATATCAAAACCTGTCTGATGAAAAGAGATACTCCGCCAGAGCAGCGAAAGCAGTAACCCTAGTGTTAGGCAGATCTACTCGCAATTTGTATGACGACAAATGGCAGAAATTTTAGCAATATGCAAGGCGGAAGGGCTTTACAGCTATGAAAGCGTCTCATCCTCAAGTGGCGGAATATCTGTGTCACCTTAGATATACAAGACATCTGAAAGGTTCCACATCATCCACATATCTGGCAGCCATTAGTACAGTCATCACTATGAAGTCAGGCATCAAATTGACGAAAGTACCAGAATTACTAGATCTGCTGCGATATTTTAAACTGGAGGACCAGCAAAAGAAATTCAGAGCATCAGCCTGGGATCTGAATGTAATTCTTCTTCATCTCATGAGTGATGTCTACGAACCTCTAGAGCAGACTACCGCCGATCTACTCGCATGAAAACTCTGTTCCTGCTTGCCCTAGCCACGGCAGCTTGTATGTCTGAGATACATGCGCTGGACCTTGGGCCGAACTAGATTCGACCACGGGGCTCTGTGCTGCACTACATCTAGGACTTAGATGGGACTTTATTGCAAAGAATCAACTACCTGGTCAACCAGATAGACAGTTCCATGTGCCAAGCGCTATCTACGATCCTCGGACCAGAGGACACCCAGGACTTATCCTTGTGTCCTGTCAGAGCCTTGAAGATATATTTTCAAAGACTAAAACAAGGAGAAGAAAATTCAAGTGCCTATTCATCCCTTGTCGGTGAGGAGACAGCAGTGGAAGTCTCAAGAGCGACAATATCGTTTTGGATGAGAGCCGTTATACTAAGAGCCTACAAAGCAGCAGGATTAGAACCTCCAAGAGCTTCCAACCCACACAAAGTCAGAGCACTGCGTCAACACTGGCTCTGCATGGAAATTGCTCTATATCATCGATCATGGAGGGCTGCTTCTGGAAGTCAACCACGGTGTTTGCCAACCACTACCGAGACATAGCCATCTAACGTCTCCGGCATTTACCAGTTTGGGCCTCTTGTTGTAGCACAACAACTAACGGTTCCTCAAAGGCGCTGAGTTGAAATCTCACCCTTTATCACGTTGACTTGTTGATAACTTTTACTATGGAAAAGTTCTAGTCACAGAAGTCCATGCGCACAGTCTAGACTAGGCTAGCATGAGTGATTAAGACTCTGTACGGGTAAAGATCTTATCTGTACGTAAAGGGGTCGCAACTCATTTATGATAAAGATCTTATCATAATCTATGGGTTGTTATAGATAACTAGTAAAAGAAGATACTAGAATATCTTAAGCCACATGAATCTACAAGATTCACTTGTCTGAGAGAGAAGTAAGACAAGATGGTGGTCCCCCGAGTTACAACGGAAGTTGGAAGAATAGGATCTAGGAAATGCCGTTATGCAGTTCCCATGGGGGATACAGGACGTATCTATGGACAGCTGTTGAATCCAGGAAGTGGCTTGACCCACCACCAATCCGTAGGATTCTATAAGCAAAAGATCATGAGTCAGGATAAGGAAAAATATGTAATTTTTTAAGTAAAATTGATATTTTATACTTATCCTGACTCATGAAAGCCTTCCCAACCTCCCGCTGGAAACACTTCCAGGTTTCACAGTTAACTCAGGTGAATGGGCTAATTTCAGGAGGAGTGGCATGTATGGCGGGTCACATGACTGTTTCTTGTGGAAAAAGGGAGGCAACTCGTGGGTGAGTGAACTTTCACGTCAGCTTAAAGGGAACTACAAGGGATTCAAGTGTTCCACTACCGTTAAGCATAGAAGAAGGAGATAAGCAAAATATCATGAGTCAGGATAAGTATAAAATAACAATTTTACTCAAGAAATTACATTCTTATTGCCTGCTCAAAGTAAAAAACCCCTCAAAGTCATTTTATATGGTATTTTTACATTTGTAAAATGTTGTTCTAATGTGACCTAAGAACTCTATAACCTCTTTAATGAGATTTGCAGGGATCCTAAGAAGCTGTTCGAGTTATCTGAAAAAGGTGTCGATTGGTGAAGGTACAAATTTTGCATTACAGAGTGTGCAAAAGGTGATCGGGTTACAAAGGGGTGAGTGAGTATGGTTTTATGCCCTGTTAGCAATATTCCAGCAATATCCGGTGGGGGCACCGAAATGGGCTTCACACATTGTACCCATGCCGCCGAAGACCCAAGTTCAATTCCCCAAATCGAACCTTGGTCTTAGGCGTAGCGAGCGAACGTTTAACCACTAGGCTACCCCAACGCCCCGGTTAACAAAGGGGTGGAACGTGGAAGATGGTCACCATTGCATAACATGTGCTTGAGTGTGTACCCCCATGGCCCTGTTGTCGAAGTGTGAGTCATGTAGCAACTTGCTCTGCTTTGTACTCACTGTATGTGTCCTGTGATGGTTGTCCTGTGACTGCTGTAGCTTCCATCCTTTGCAGGGTCTTGCATGTCCAGTTGGATCAATCCTTGCAGGAACCAAAGACTTTATATACATGTAAGTATACAGCTTACAGTTTCTTGATACACAATACTGGTACGAACTGGTATTCCTGGTGCCAGGATCGAGCCCACCTGTGACCGGGTGTAAAAACCTTGGAGTCAACTTTGTGTGCAGACTCTTTCAGTGTTGTCACAACCCCTTGTGTACAGTACACAACCCTGTGCACTTAACCCACGAAACCGTTGGTATATGACCAGATGGTGGCCACAAACACCTAGTTGTGGGTACAGCAACGTGCAGTAAATTTGGACAAAGTACTGTTACTATGTGTCCCAGTCAACCTGTGAATGAGTACCTCGTAAGGATGGGAAAGCCAAAATAACTCAGTGCCTTGTGGCAGCACGAGTTGTATCCTTCCCAGGGGAGCTGAGATTGATAATATGATGTGCCATTGAGATTAACATCCAATGATCGAGGGAAAAATACCAGCGCCTTGAGCGTGATAACCTCTCAAGACAGATTTGCTTCATTATCCAAACCAATCCACTTGAAGCGTCATAAAATCCCCCTTGTTGATTAGAGTCAGGTGAATGTGTGTTCAGAGATTCCCTGTTTGCTGTTCTACCCAGCAGACCGCCTCCGTGGTGTAGTGGTTAGAGCGTCCGCCCGGAGAGCGGAGGGTTGCGGGTTCAATCCCTGACCGCGTCATACCAAAAGACGTTAAGATATGGTACTTGTTGGTCCCTGCCTGGCGCTCGGCATTAATGGGTACAACAAGGACTGGTCGGCTCGGAGTCAGTATAATGTGTCTGAGTGGGGAATTCATGCTTCACTGCGGCATGGTATCTCAGTGGGCTAGCACTATAAAACCAGCTTAAGTCTGGGCTAGTACAAGCAGCCGCACATACACATACACACGCATGCATGTCGTCATATGAGCGAAATATTCTCAAGCACGACGTTAAACCCAATTTCACCTCACCTCTACCCAGCAGTCTATCTATACGACAGCACCATGTAAATAGCATGGGCCACACAGGCCTGTGGTTGATGTTATAAACTACTATGAGAAAGCAAGCATAAGGTACCCGGGTCCCCGCAAGGAGATTCTCTGATAATACCTCACAATGGAATTTCCTTTCAGAGCAAGTCAGCATAATGACATCTTGATTAAATATATCTTTCAAAACAAACAATGATCTATAATAAAATTGACTGTGCCCTTTATACAGTTAGAAAAGACCTACACTATGGCCACTTTTAATATATAATTATGAATATACTAATCAAAGATATTTTCACATGGTATGACAGATTGTCTACAGCCTTGAAAAACTTAAGTTTTCTTTTACCTTTTTAACTGCCAGTAACATTTTATAGGTAACTAAGTCATGTATGTTAAAGTCTTCCAGCCTTTTAGTGTGACTTGATTATGTTTAATCATGGTCATTTTGGCATACTTCTCAGGGGCACGGAGAGCGAGAAAAGCTCTGGGAGGTGGTATGAGACAAGCAGGTATTCTCGCTGCAGCCATGCTAGCGTCCCTTGACACAATAGTGCCTGCGCCTCCATGAAGACCGCCAGGGGCAAAGAGGCTAGCTGCAGGTACAGTACAATGAAAACACAATGTCCTGTCAGGAATATGGTTAAACATGTGTAGGATTTGAACCCTCACTCTCAGCAGGAGGCACCAAATAGCCAGTACACTATGTCAGCTATCTAACCCACTCAGCCACCGAGGGTTTGAGAGTTAAACAACTGGTAATCATATCACATACTTTGTGTACCCCTCTCATGAATGTAAGCAGGCATTGCTGCTACTTCTGAAAGCTATGAATACACATGGCCTTTCAGAGACTGGTAAAGTGCACAGTGAGTGTAATAAATATCTAATATTCTCAGATTGGCATTCTGGTTTTACAATACTGATTTTGCCATGGCAAGTATGGGTTCCGGTAAGATGGTTTTTTTTGTTTAATGACATAGTTTAAAATAGGCTAAATGCATAGTCTAATTTCCGAAATATACATGAGGATTCAGAAATTGAAAATGGAATCTCTGGAACAAGGAAGGCATTTCTCAGTTATAATTGCATTTTTCTTTGGATGATGATGAAATGACATTAAACAAGTTAAGGATGGTTCAAAAGTATTTTTCATATTTTTCCTTATCCTGACTCATGCTTATTGCTTGTCTCCCTTTCCTTCCAAATGCTAGTGGAACACTTGAATCCCATTTTGAAGCTCCCTTAAAAAAAAAGGACGTAAAATCACTTACCAGGAGTCACCTCCCTTGCTAGGTTTTGGCTGGAAACGGTGCCACCTGTCTCCCATGCTCTTCTCTCTCTCATGATTTGCCCAAGTGGGCGGTTGTGAGAGTACCTGGTCCCCTATACGGCATTATATCCTTTTATTATTTAGGCTTTTCTTCTAAATTAGCTGTATAAGGCTTTAGTTAACATTTACCTACAATATTCTACGGAATTAATTCTCAAATTTCGGAGATTGCCGACATAGACAACGCTGGCTCGAGGAAGAGGTCATCTACATCTGAGACACCCTCTTCGCAGTCAAAGAAGACTAGGGCATCATCTTCCCAGAGGAAGAAGTCAGCTACAACTAGACTTCGTCGGAAGTCTCCACATGGGGCAACGCAGAAAACGAGGTCCTTTTCAGCTGAGATCGTCTGGAAGAAGTAGATCTCTACGATGAGCCGCCCATCCTCATCCCTGAGATCACATCTAAGAAGAAGATGAAGACATCTTCTACAGTGACCACGCAGGACAACCTTTCAACGCAGACGTTCGGCACGAAGGATCAACCCCCTTCGGAAGAAGCCTCATCCGTCTCAGATGCGTCGTCAGTACAACACACAACGCAGACCTTCAACCCAGGCACCTTTATGCAGCAGATGTTGGACCTGATGGAACAACGGTTCGCATGCGAGAGAGCTGCGACGAAGACGACGTCTGCGACGAACCCGAGTGAAGGTCAACTGAGCAGCACACCACGTCCGTTGGGAACCAACGTCCTGCAGAGCATACAGGAAGATTCCAGCTCGACTACAGCATCCGCACTAATACCTGGCAGCCATACCAATGTGGAATCCGCACCAACTACGTTCAGCGGAAGGACCAGACGTTCGCCGAACCCACACAGATCATCATCGACGTCAGATACGGACGTTCGTCACGAACCTGCATGCAACGGTTCGTTACCAAGGAGAAGAGAATCAACGTCCGCACGAAGGCATAGAGATTCGTCACAAGACTCCAACCCTCGACAAAGCCGTTCACCAACACGCAGGTTCGTGCGAAGGCATGCAAGGTCATCTCTATCTCCCACATTCACGAGCGTATGGTTCGCCACAAAGGTCACCATGCAGGTCACCCTACAGATCGCCATGCAGGTCACCACACAGATCGTCTCACAGATCACCTTACAGATCTCCTCGTTCAGACGACAAAAGAAGACATCCATCCTCAGAGCAGGAAGATGACGGCTGAATTATATTCTCCGACTCGGAAATCAAGTCATGGATGGCCAACGGTTTGGAACTTGCATCACCCTCTAAGGAGACCAACGAAGCACTATCATACTTGATGGTGAATGATGATATAGACTCACTCAAGATGCCACCTATCGACCCAGTCTTAGACGTTCCAGACAACCTCAGCACAGCCTTCAAGAAAGCAACTAAATACCAGACTCAGAGTATTCCGTCGTTCAACGCTAAGAAGTTCTCTCTACACCACATGGAACCCTTCATGAAGGCCCCAGAGATAGATGAGAATTATAAGATCATCAATGACACTCGGACTAAAGCTTACAAGATAGAAGATAAAAAGCTGGCACAGTTAGACACAGTAACCAGACGAACCTTCTTCGGCCTAGCCAGGTCAAGAGCTATCAACGAGACTCTTATCTCGAAGTTTAAGAATTCAACTTCAGAGGAAGATAGAATGGTTTATTCAGCTCTACTTACACAGAAAAAGGATCATCAGTTCATGTCTGAACACCTATCATCCATTTCTGCAGGCCTAACGTTATCAAGAAGGCAAGGACTGTTATCTTCATGAACTTGGAGCGAGAAGTTTACCAAGACACTCTACAGAGCCCCTTTGTCAGCACCATCCACTTTTGGAGGAGAAATTGATGAAGTAAGCCAAGGAAGTTAAGCTAAAGATTCGAAGTAATGATGATCAAGTCTATCGATACACTGGCCAGTGTAATCGTCAAACCTCCCAGCGTTATTCTGGCAAATCGAAGTTTGCAGGCATCCAGAGAGCAAGGGATAAGAAATGAGGCAACACTAAAGGAAATAAGGATTCTTTTAAATTAAGCCCATCCGCAGCTCGAAGAGGTGGCTTCGGAGGAAGAGGTCGGCCCTTCGGGCCAGAAGTTCCAGACGATGAAATACAGGTTCGGAGCGACTGGAGTCTTCCACCCCCAGCCGTTCCAGTACAACCCTCACAAGTGGGTGAACGTCTGCAACTCTACTGGAAGAATTGGGGAATTCTTCAAGACGACTTCGTATCTCAGATTCTACGCACAGGTTACAGGATACAACTACAAGCAGTTCCACCAGTAACAATCAACCCACTGGTTCACAACTACGCTGCAGACCAGAAGGGAAATCTACTAGAAGCCATCACATCTCTACTAGAGAAAGAGGCAATAGAAGAGATAAAACACTGCGTCACACCAGGTTTCTACTCCCCAATTTTTCTTGTACCAAAGAAAAATTCAAAAGAAAAGTTCCGACGTACGCCAAGGAATAGAGCTTATAGTCCATGTACACGTCTAGAACAGACTAGCATGAATATTGGACCCTGTACTTGTAAGGAATTACTGGTACATGGATAGGGTCACTACTCCACTTGATATGACCATCAAGAGTTGGAGTTATTTAAATCCCAATGTACGGTTACAGAAGAGTTTGATATATTGTGGTCCCCCCAAATTACCAAATTATTTCGACATATGGATCAACAGCAGCAGTGCCATTTAAAGTTCCCATGGGGGTATATAGGACGTAAATTCATCACTAAGGAATCCAGAGGTGGCTTGACCGACCACCTATACCGTCGGATTCTACAAGCAATAAGCATGAGTCAGGATAACGAAAAATATGTAATTTTCTGACTAAAATTGATATTTTATACTTATCCTGACTCATGAGGTAAGCCCTCCCAACCTCCCCTCAAGGCACTCTGGATTTCCCAGTAAATCAGTGTGTCGGGCTATAAAATACGGAGAGAGTGAAGAGCATGGGAGACAGATGGCGCGTTTCCCGTCAAAACCTAGCAAGGGAGGTGTCTCCTGGTAAGTGATTTTACGTCCGCTTTTTTTTAAGGGAGCTTCAAAGGGGATTCAAGTGTTCCACTAGCATTTGGAAGGAAAGGGAGACAAGCAATAAGCATGAGTCAGGATAAGTATAAAATATCAATTTTATTCAGAAAATTACATATTGGCACATTTTATGCCAAAAGGTCATGTAATTATCTGTGTCCAACATATGTTTCTGTCCCTGTTGTTTGCAGAAATGCATGTTAAACAATATACATGTATATCTTAAAAGGCACAATATCACACATTTTCTACAATATTTTGACCTATATTTTATATATTGGGGGCATATGCACTCTATATGCATAGGATGTCTATAAAGAGCACTCCAAGGGACATTACACGATGGGGTTCGCATGAAATAATGTTCGGTCTGTAGAGGGCGCAAGAGTCGTTTTAATGCAATGTTGTATTAATTCATTTGAATTTTTAAATTTAATATTGTAATCTAAATACAAAATTGTTTTTGGGAATAAATTATGTGGTAGCTTCCCTGAGGGCTGATAGTTAGTATTATTGAGAGAAATGCTTTATGTACTTTAAGAGATGTGTGGTGTGACACTGTGCCTTTAATGTAAAATCTGTAGCATGTCATGTGGTTTGTTTGCCTCATACATGCTTGACAGTTTGAATTCCCACATTCATATTGTATGTAAAGGTAGGAATGAGGAGGCTTCAATAATTAACAGGAAAATTAATGTATTGAATGACCTGGAAGATTTGTTACTTTCATACTTTTTAACTCCAGGTATCATGGCGTCCCCATCAAACAAAGTGGTTGTTGTTGACGTTCCTGGGGTACAGACCAACTTGTTTATGATGGAGATTACCAAGTCAGGACTAACTCCAGACGAACTGTGTCAGAGGATGAGTGAGGTAATTCATTGGAAAACATTATCTGCCCTCTGTGTGAAGGCCACTAAAGAGTGCATTTCTTAATTAATTCAGTATCAGTTTCATCAAGCAATCTGGTGCTGTGTCTATTATAAGGCCATGTAATTGTATGGGAGTTAACATTACATACTGTAGCGCTGTGTTTGTTCTGTGGAACAGGGCTCATGATCCAAGAGATGCTTCCCAAGGCCACAGGGTTCTGTTCATGCACACTGATGCTGTACCTGTCAGGTCATGAGGCAAACTAGTATGACTAGAACTGTCAGAGGTCATGAGGCATCCTAGTATGACTAGAACTGTCTGAGGTCATGAGGCACCCTAGTATGACTAGAACTGTCAGAGGTCATGAGGCACCCTAGTATGACTAGAACTGTCAGAGGTCAAGAGGCACACTAGTATGACTAGAACTGTCAGAGGTCATGAGGCATCCTAGTATGACTAGAACTGTCAGAGGTCATGAGGCACACTAGTATGACTAGAACTGTCAGAGGTCATGAGGCACACTAGTATGACTAGAACTGTCAGAGGTCATGAGGCACCCTAGTATGACTAGAACTATCAGAGATCACGAGGCACATTAGTATGACTAGAACTGTCAGAGGTCATGAGGCATCCTAGTATGACTAGAACTGTCAGAGGTCATGAGGCACACTAGTATGACTAGAACTGTCAGAGGTCATGAGGCACACTAGTATGACTAGAACTGTCAGAGGTCATGAGGCATCCTAGTATGACTAGAACTGTCACTCAGAGGTCATGAGGCATCCTAGTATGACTAGAACTGTCAGAGGTCACGAGGCACACTAGTATGACTAGAACTGTCAGAGGTCACGAGGCACACTAGTATGACTAGAACTATCAGAGGTCACGAGGCATCCTAGTATGACTAGAACTGTCAGAGGTCACGAGGCACACTAGTATGACTAGAACTGTCGCAGGTCAGAGGTCACTGAGGCACACTAGTATGACTAGAACTGTCGGAGGTCATGAGGCACACTAGTATGACTAGAACTGTCAGAGGTCATGAGGCATCCTAGTATGACTAGAACTGTCAGAGGTCAAGAGGCATCCTAGTATGACTAGAACTGTCAGAGGTCATGAGGCACACTAGTATGACTAGAACTGTCAGAGGTCATGAGGCACACTAGTATGACTAGAACTGTCAGAGGTCATGAGGCACCCTAGTATGACTAGAACTATCAGAGATCACGAGGCACATTAGTATGACTAGAACTGTCAGAGGTCATGAGGCATCCTAGTATGACTAGAACTGTCAGAGGTCACGAGGCACACTAGTATGACTAGAACTGTCAGAGGTCACTGAGGCACACTAGTATGACTAGAACTGTCAGAGGTCATGAGGCACCCTAGTATGACTAGAACTGTCAGAGGTCATGAGGCACCCTAGTATGACTAGAACTATCAGAGATCACGAGGCACATTAGTATGACTAGAACTGTCAGAGGTCATGAGGCATCCCTAGTATGACTACAGAACTGTCAGAGGTCACGAGGCACACTAGTATGACTAGAACTATCAGAGGTCATGAGGTCACACTAGTATGACTAGAACTATCAGAGATCACGAGGCACATTAGTATGACTAGAACTGTCAGAGGTCATGAGGCATCCTAGTATGACTAGAACTGTCAGAGGTCATGAGGCATCCTAGTATGACTAGAACTGTCAGAGGTCATGAGGCATCCTAGTATGACTAGAACTGTCAGAGGTCAAGAGGCACACTAGTATGACTAGAACTGTCAGAGGTCATGAGGCACACTAGTATGACTAGAACTGTCAGAGGTCATGAGGCACCCTAGTATGACTAGAACTATCAGAGATCACGAGGCACATTAGTATGACTAGAACTGTCAGAGGTCATGAGGCATCCTAGTATGACTAGAACTGTCAGAGGTCACGAGAGGCACACTAGTATGACTAGAACTGTCAGAGGTCACTGAGGCATCCCTAGTATGACTAGAACTGTCAGAGGTCAAGAGGCACACTAGTATGACTAGAACTGTCAGAGGTCATGAGGCACACTAGTATGACTAGAACTGTCAGAGGTCATGAGGCATCCTAGTATGACTAGAACTGTCAGAGGTCATGAGGCATCCTAGTATGACTAGAACTGTCAGAGGTCAAGAGGCACACTAGTATGACTAGAACTGTCAGAGGTCATGAGGCACCCTAGTATGACTAGAACTATCAGAGATCACGAGGCACATTAGTATGACTAGAACTGTCAGAGGTCATGAGGCATCCCTAGTATGACTAGAACTGTCAGAGGTCATGAGGCATCCTAGTATGACTAGAACTGTCAGAGGTCATGAGGCATCCTAGTATGACTAGAACTGTCAGAGGTCAAGAGGCACATTAGTATGACAAGAACTGTCAGAGGTCATGAGGCATCCTAGTATGACTAGAACTGTCAGAGGTCATGAGGCACACTAGTATGGTGTATGGTTTACCACATGTGCACATGTCAGTTAACGGGATGGTGTGATGAAGCTGATGGGACTCATACTCACAGCCCAGCAAGAACAGTTGTGATTTGGCCTCAGCTTTTTTGTTTGTTCACACGAAGCGATACGATGCCGTTTTCTTTCCTTTGAAAAGAAGTTTGACAAAAGTGTAACCCATAGATAAGCAGACCCCCTTCTACAGCAGACTGCTTTTTTTGGTCCTCAAAATTCGGCTTATCTACGGTAATATACAGTCATCAGTACATCACAATGTGGCTGAAATCCTGCCGACATGACGTAAATCAAACTCATTTTCACAGTGGTACTCAGGCTGTTGGGATGCCACATGGTGCTAGTGAACGCACATCATTGTCCAATCAGAAATCAGAGAGGGGAGTTGGAGGAAGGGGAGAAGTTGTTCACTCAAATCTCAAGGTCGGAACAGGATGGGGTGAAAATAGTTGTCCTGGTGGCTTAACAGAATTAAGTGAGTTGAAATAATGAGATCATTATCCTGTCTCTTTCCCCTTCACTTGGTGTGTATAGCCTCCCTAGTGACCTGGGCATCCTTTCACAAAGCACCAAGGTGATGTGAAGTCACTAAGGTAACCTTAGTGCAATGTTAAAGAATGGGAGTTCAGGTTAACCTTAGTAAATGTTGCTTCGTGAAAGGGCCCCTGATCCCAAACTTTGTTGATTTCTTCTAACTCTGATGGTGTAGATGATGGCATTATATCAATCACTGGATTGTCTTGTCCAGACTTCATCAGGCTGCTGCCTAAGTTAATCAACAAACAAAATATGAATATGGTGCTTCCAGATGAACAACATTTTCTTTATAATTGTCTTCATTCATTCACAATGAACCTAACCCATCAGTTTCAGATAGTGTATCCTTTCAATTGTACTTGTGATATTTTCTGCATGGAAGTTTGAAGTGTTATTCTGGGTGCATTTCCATTTGAATTTCATCTTCCAGGTTACTGATGCTGAGAGGGACAAACTGGGATACAGCGTATCAGCTCTAATGCTGCCATTTTCAGAAATGGGTATCCGTCTGGTCACCCACAATGACATCACTGACGAGGATGTGGACCGCACCATCAGCAAGTTTCAATACGTCCTTGCAGAACTGTCGCAGTGATAATGAAACATGATAGTTCAGAAACAGCAGTGCCGTATTTTATTTGAGGTATACAGTCAGAGATTCACCATGTAATACCTTCTTCATTCTTGTACATTTGTTTTGTTGACAGTATTCCACCTTATCACTCAGGGTTTTATTGTTTGTTGTTTAATGCTACACATAGTCCAGCTGAAGAGGGTCGTTGTGGGCGGTACTTCACGGATCATTACCCCAGGTGCGTTCTGTATACACATATGTACCTTAAACAAAGTCAAAATACAGAAAGCGTACCCGTTTACCCTAAAAGTGAGGGACGAAGTCCATATTCCGCAATTCAAAACCGGAAACCAGAAGTAGTTGTTCGGTTCAACTGTTTTCCGAGTGGTATCCATATGTATCACGAAATATCCGTTACTGTTCTCATTACTTACTTACATAGCATAAAATGTATCTAATACAACAGCATGGCGGTTCCGATCAAGAATTGACACAATGGGAATGGAATGGTCCTAAGTGCGTTTATATATTAGCATTATGGCCTGGGTACATATCTGTATAAATTACCTGGGGTACACATATCTGTAGTACCTGTGCCGACAACGTCCCCTTCAGCCATAGTCCTGGGATGTTACAAGGACTGTCAATACTCAATCTGGACCAGATAATACTGTTATTGCTATTATAATCAAAATCCGTCCTATAAAGCCAAAAAATAATAGAGTCCGTTTCTGGTTACCCAACTGATCCTATCCTAACCCCGACCCTAAATCTTTTTTAACCAAGTCAAAATCAGGAGTGCATTTCAACTCATCATTTTCATCCAAATCCGCATTATAATATTTTCATGTTTATCTGTGTGCACGTAGGGCTAAAATGGATTGCACTGAATTGGTATAATGGGTCCTCGCTGACAAAACCTGCAAATACATAATATGAATAATGATTTGATGTAGAAATCTTTCCATGTTTCATCACAAGGCATTGTAACAACATGATATGGTATCCTTGAAGACATTTTCAGGTGCCCACCTGGTGCTACTAAAAAGTTTTAAAAAAGTTTAAAAAGATAAAATCGACCCACCCACCCTATTTTTAAAAAGCATGTAATAGGAAATGGATATATATTTGGGGGTTGCTTAGGTTGTAATGAGGACATTTAGTTACCAAGCGTGACCACTTGATCAGTAAAGTTGAGTCATACAGCCAGCAGTTGCTAGTGGCCGGTTGCTTACCCTGATTTCACATTACATCTTGAGTAGCATTTAGTAGCTGGTATGATGAACAGGAGCGATTTTTATGGATAGACAACTCCTTTATTGCAATGAATGCGATGTTTGATTGAAGAAGATGCTAACATCCCTACGACTTACCATCCTCTAATCAGTGACAATCAAGATTAAGGGTCACTTACTCTTTGTCCATCAGGCTTCATAGCCAATAGGGGTGAGTGGGGGTAGCCTAGTGGTTAAAAGCGTTGGCTCGTGCACGCCCGATGACCGAGTTTGAATCCCACATGGGAGCAATCATTGAAGCCCATTTCTGGTGTCCCCTGCCGTGATGTTGCTGGAATATTGCTAAAGCGTAAAACCAAACTCAGATCAGTCAGTCAGTCATAGCCATTAGCTATGATCACAGCAACTATCAGTGATGTCATCACACTGTACATCAACCTTGTTGACTGGGCTCCAGATAAGGGCCGTATCGCGTATGTATGGATAAAAATTTACCGCGATACGGTAGGAAATAATTTATAAAGCGTAGCAGAATCGCACGGCAATGGTGAAAACGGTCTTTAGAATCATTTACAGGCGTATTTATCTGAAAAGTATTATTTTATTGTATATTGACCTGTTTACACAAGACTAGCAATGTTTTGTTCATATATGAAACAAAACACAAGATTACTGATACTCTATTAAATTCCATTCAGTACTCTAAATATAGGCTTAAGGTTTTCGAGTACTCCTTTATTGAAAATATAAGGAGTATTACTCTGGTGTTCAAAAAATTATCTGGAGCCCTGATGTTGTGTATCACTTGCTTGATAATGGCGTTAGCATCTACACTGACATGTTGCATCCATTGCAATAAAAGAGTTGTCCATCCATAAAAAATGTTCCTTCTGATTTAACATCGTATTATCCAGTAAGATGATGGTTTCTGTTAGTACTCACGGTTGAAAAGACCTGTGGTGTGACCCCAATACATATGAATGGCAAGGACCAAATGTCTGCAGGGTAGTGTGAGTGAGTGAGTATGGTTTTACACTGTTTTTAGCAATATTCCTGCAATATGGCGTGGGACACCAGAATGGGTTTCACAGATTGTACCCGTGTGGGGATTGAACCTGGTTTTAGAGTGATGAAACTAGGCTACCCCGACAGGGTAGAGAGGGGACCCATCACTTGTATGTATCTGTAACACATGTTATATTTGGGATTACACTTTCTTAGTAAAGTACACATTCTAGTACTTTTGTTGGGTTGAGTCCTATCCGGGATTTAAACCCACACCCTCAGAGTCAGGCAACTAATCGCCAGCACACAAAGTCGCCTCACCACTTTCTAAATGGCATTGTGTATTAATTGCATCTGTGTCTTGCGTGCAAAGGGAAAGTGCTGGTAAAACATATTTGGATATCTCCCCATCATCAACACGAAGAGTCTGGGTGAAGTAGACTTGCTTGTTTGAGGACCCACCGGGGCTGGGAGATATAGTCAAGTTTGAATTCTGATGTGCTATACTTGATTGGCTTAGCTAATTTTTATCTTTCACCACTACAACTCTGTAATCTTAATGCACTCACTCATTTTATGTTGAGCTCTAGTTCTGGGCCTGTTCTCCAGATTTATGATTGTTGTAAAATTATTATAAAGTAACAAAGGTTAGGAAAGTTATAGAGCTTAGGCTAATTTGTTAAACCAGGACTTGGGGCCTGATCCACTAAGTATTTGTAGCACTTCACTATCGTTAGTTCATGAAAAACTACATAGTTACGTTAGGTCGTAACATAATTGTATACACACTGTGATCATTTTCAGTTGACATCAAAAGAGAAATCTCAAATGAACAATATTTGAAGCTGTATGTTTTCAGGGTACCACCCTACCCCGAGTAGTTCCAACCCACAGGAAGCTCTGGTGTAGGGAATCATGGCAACAAAATGGACCAAGATCCTGACCCACAAAATGGTTATTTTATCAATGATACAGTTCATTGAAGCAGCATATTCACAAGGGTCATTTCCCCAGACAAGTTAGGTTTGTGAATGAGTTGTTGAAGATTTTAAGCATTATTATAATTTATATATGTTTTTGCCTCATGTCTTTAAAACACTTTTAAGTACAATCCTGTATAAAATGGAAACTACACATAATGTACTTGGCACAAAATCAGAAAACATTTTGTGTTTGTGATAATAAAACACCACTTTTAATACGGATAGTGTTTGTCATATCATATAGTGATAGGACATGGTTTATATATGTCAAGCAGATGTTTAAATATATCTGGCATATATGAATATCACTATCAAAATGAAAAATATGTCCAAGGACTTTGAGAGAGTCATCTAAAAATACGGCAAGCATTTTGGGAGTGTAATAATGTTTAGTTAATTAGTGCATCTCAAACCTCCTACCTACCCAGCCCTGAAATAAATAACTGGTCATTATATATACAGAGGATACTAAACGACCTTCCGTGTAATACTAATTTTATTAAACGAGTTAATGATTTGGTATCAAACAAGCTCGTTTGATACTAAATCTTTCAGGAGTTTAATAAATATGGTATTTCACGAAAGTGAGTTTAGTATTCTATTTATTACTCTCCAACATAAATTGATAGAAATTGCCTACAGTGTGATGACTCTCATATAAATTTTCTGGGAGTCAAGCAAGGGCTAATACCATTGCGACAGAGGCATTAGCATTGTGACGTCATAACTGTAACCATTATGACGTCATATGTCTAGCGGTATTACACTAGTGCAATATTGCCGTAAAAATATTACACTGCAGTATCTTCCACGGGGTAATAAATAGAGGAAACTAAAGCGACCTGTGTAATACCATTTTTATTAAGCGAGTTAATGATTTGGTATCAAACGAAGCGAAAGCGAGTTAGATACTATTCTTTCACGAGTTTAATAAAAATGCTATTTCAAGGAAGCTAGTTTAGTATTCTGTTTATTACTCTCAATATAAATTGATAGAAACTGCCTACAGTGTGATGACTCTCAGCTTTCCATGAGTCAAGCAAGGTATAATACCATTGTGACAGAGGCATTAGCATTGTGAGGTCATAACTGTAACCATTATGAAGTCATACGTCTAGCGGTATTACACTAGTGCAATATTGCCGTAAAATATTACACTGCAGTATCTTCCACCGGCGAGTAGAAATAGAGATTATTACACGAGCAAGTGTGTCATCTGACATAATAACATGTTTAACAATATCAGAAGCTACTATTCCACATATACACTCTCTGGATTCAATCTTTTTACAGCCAATGTGAATAATATGAGAGAGTTTGTAAAATTTAGGCTTTTTAATCAAGGCTAGTTCCACAGTCTACTTGGATTAAAAGGCTCTCGGATAAGGCAATATCTGGAGAGATCCTCTCTCACTGCTATCTGATGACACAACAGACTCCTCGTAAGCATCACAGATTCTGGATTTAACAATATCATTCCATTTTGCTTTAGTATATATAACCCCTGTTGTGATGTATGTATTAACAGCGTCAAACAAGCCATACTTGTTTACGAGCTTAACCATGTACAGGATAGGTGATGGGATTTACCAATGGTAGTCATACATCTGGATTCAAATAGACGATGAAGAAATAATTGTTTAACAACATAGGCATCATTTAGACGGCAGATTCTACCAAACATAAGCAAACAAGATTTTCTGTATACCCTTGAATTGGCAGTAGTCCCAGGGTATCTAGAACCACAGGAGAAGCAGTGCGTTTAGGCAGACCTTGTACCTTTCTACAGAAATACCTTTGTGTTAACTCCAACATGTCCAATTCTTTTGACGTTAAGCTGCTCCAGACAGTACAACCATACATGTCCAACTTTTTGTGCCATGGCCCAGTTGGCGCTTCATGCACACTCATGTGCAACCAACCGTGCAAACA